TTTCCTGAATGCTGATAGTACCCCACACTAGTACTATCACTATTACTATCACTATTACCATCACTGGACCCCACTCAATTCGTCAACTATCGGCCAGTATCCAATCTCCCCTTTTTGAGCAAAGTCTTGGAACGTGTGGTGGCCTCACAACTCCAGGTATTCTTGGAAGACATGGATTATCTGGACTCGGCACAGTCTGGCTTTAGGCCGGGACATGGAACTGAAACAGTCTTGGTCGCCTTAGTCGATGATCTTCGCCGGGAGCTAGACAGGGGGAGTGTGTCCCTGTTAGTTCTGCTGGACCTCTCAGCGGCCTTCGATACCATCGACCACGGTATTCTTCTGGGACGCCTCGCAGGAATGGGCCTTGAAGGTACTGTTTTGCAGTGGCTCCGGTCCTTCCTAGAGGGTCGATCCCAGAAGGTGTTATTGGGAGATACCTGCTCAACTCCACAACCTTTGTCTTGTGGAGTTCCTCAGGGCTCTATACTATTTCCCATTTTGTTTAACATCTACATGAAGCCGCTGGGAGAGATCATCCGGAGTTTCGGGGTACGATGTCACCTGTACACAGACGACGTCCAACTCTGTCACTCCTTTCCACCTTCTACTAAGGAGGCTGTTGAGGTCCTGAACTGGTGCTTGGCTGCTGTAACGGTCTGGATGAGGGCGAACAAATTGAAATTGAATCCAGACAAGACAGAGGTACTCCTGGTCAGTCGCAAGGCCGAACAGGGCATTGGGTTACAGCCTGTGTTAGACGGGGTTACACTCCCCCTGAAGACGTAGGTTCGCAGCTTGGGTGTGATCTTGGACTCATTGCTGAGCCTGGAATCTCAGGTTTCAGCGGTGACCAGGGGAGCATTCGCACAGTTAAAACTTGTGCACCAGCTGCGCCTGTACCTTGGGAAGCCTGACTTGGCCGCGGTAGTCCATGCTCTAGTCACATCCCGTATAGACTACTGCAATGCTCTCTACGTGGGGTTGCCTCTGAAGACTGCTCGGAAGCTTCAAATGGTCCAACGATCGGCAGCCAGGATGCTAACAGGAGCGGCACTCAGGAAGCATACAACTCCTCTGTTGCGCCAGCTCCACTGGCTGCCAATTTGCTACCGGGCACAATTCAAAGTGCTGGCTTTAGCCTTTAAAGCCCTAAACGGTTCTGGCCCGACTTACCTGTCCGAACGCATCTCCTCCTATGAACCAGCTAGGACATTAAGATCATCTGGGGAGGCCCTGCTCTCGGTCCCGCCGGCCTCACAGGCGCGCCTGGCGGGGACGAGAGACAGGGCCTTCTCAGCGGTGGCCCCCCGGCTGTGGAATGCCCTCCCTGCAGATATCAGATCGGCCCCCTCCTTGCTGGTATTTCGGAGGAAATTGAAGACCTGGATGTTCAAACAGGCATTTGGCTAAGCAGTGTGACTGATTGATTGATTATTGGAACACGGAATAATGGATAACGAGTTTGGATACTGATTCTAGTGATGAGACCTGATGGATTTGCTATACTGATGTCATTTTGTGTTTATTGATTTGTGATGCTATTGTTTTTAAAGGCCTATTGTTCTGTACTATGTATACTGCTGAATTGTTGTTAACCGCTCCGAGTCGCCTAAGTGCTGAGAGGAGCAGTATACAAATTAAGCAAATAAATAAATAAATAAATATTTTCCTAATTCCAAGGAAACTGCTCCTGTACTAAATCGGTAGCTGGCAGCAATGGCTTGGATGAGAGCAAACCGATTGAAGCTTAATCCAGACAAGATAGAGGTGTTCCTGGACAGCTACAAGACAGAGCTGGAAATATTATGGGTTTGGCGTGTGTTAGATGGGGTAATACTCCCCCACAAAATGCAGGTTCACAGTTTGGAGGTACTTCTGGATTCAACCCTGAGCAAAGAGTAAGAAGCGAAGAGTAAGAAGCGACTGAACGAATAAACAACACTATCAGCATACTGGTGACACCTGATCCCAAATTGTCCAACCTTTCTTGTATATGTTAAAAGCATAAAGGTTGGAAAGCAGACCTGGGGCACACTTCAGGGTAGTGGTCAAGAAGTTGAACAGGTGCCCCACAGCTCCACCCTCTTGAGAGCAGCCCTTCAGGAAAGGAGTCGTTGTAGAAGAATACCTCCAAGCTTTGATCCAAAAAGATACCATGACCAATGGTATCAAAAACAGCGGAGCAGTCCAGCAGAACCAACAAGGACACGTGTATACAGCATTGAATTTTGCCTTTGTGAGGCTGCCCTGAGTCCCCTTCATGGGGAGAAGGGTGGGATACAAGTGTGGTAAATAAATACCAGTACCAAGTGCAGATCATCCACCGAGACTACCAAAGTTGTCCCATTTCATGTCCAGGCCTGAAAGCAGACAGAAATGGGGGTCAAGCCAATCCCCCTCATCCATGGTGTTCTGCTATTTGTACATAAATAATTATTATAAACCTACTAGCCATTCCCTGCCATGCGTTGCTGTGGCCCAGTCTGTGTATATGTGTCTTCTGTGTGTGTATATGTGTGTTTGCTTATATATATGTGGTTTTGTGCATGTGTTGTAATGTATTTTTTTACTTTTAAGTATCTTCTGCTGAGTTTTTCAGTGTTTTTAAGAGTGATGCTCACTTGTTGGCCTGATACATGTATTATGTCCAAATTTCGTGTCAATTTGTCCAGTGGTTTTTGAGTTATGCTAATCCCACTATTGAACATTACATTTTTATTTATATAGATGTGGGCCTTTCTCCTCCAGAATTTCTGTCAGGCTAGAACAGGTTGTGCTGTAACCTGCTCATATAGTTCAGTTACAATTGAGAAGATAATTGAACTGGATCAAAGTTAAGTCAAGCTTCAAGCAGTTCCATTGAGATCAGCAGTACTTAAATTAGTTGTGGCTAATTGTTCTATTGACATCACCAGGTCCGCTGAAAGCCGTATTTTATCCAGTTCCTGTTAACATGCATAAAAATACACAATTATCTTCCATTCTGTCCCACATAAAAGATTGGACACAGCATTTTTTAAGGACAACCTGCACATATTTATTCAGTGCATGGATAACTGAAGAAACTCAAGTTAAAAATATGGTGTTTAAGATTAATATAAGTGACCTGAAAGTTTATGATGTTGGCACTGTTCTAGCTCATCCATAAATGTTATTTGTCATTTCATGGGATAGGTACTAGGCCTGGTTGATCAAGAAAAAATTTGGTTCTAAAATCGATTTGTAATTGGGGTGTTTTTTTGTTTCGATATTTAAAATAATTACAAAATTTTCCCCCAAAAAAGTTTTGGTATTTACGAAATTTCGTAAATATTAACGAATCGATTCGTTAAGATGGCGGACCCCCGCGCATGCGCAAAATCGTTTCCGAAGCTTCGTTATTGGCGCGGGGGTCGATTCGTTAAGGTTATAACGAATCGATTCGTTAAACGGCGGACGCGATTGCGCATGCGCAAAAGCGACTCCCGAAACTTCGTTATTAAAAACTTCGTTATTAAAAACTTCGTTATTAAGTATTTTGGGTTGGCAAAAGGAGCGCACTGGTTGGAACTACACAAATGATGAGCGAGCAGTGTATGTAGCACTTTGTGTTGGCAAAAGGAGCGCACTGGTTGGAACTACACAAATGATGAGCGAGCAGTGTATGTATGTAGCACTTTGTGTTGGCAAAAGGAGCGCACTGGTTGGAACTACACAAATGACAAACCCACACACAGCCACCGAAGACTCTTTTATTTTTTTAGAATATTTTTTGTATTTTTTAAATGGCCCTGATGTGGACCAAACACAGGCAGGAGACAGCAAATGAGAGCACACACCAACAGAAGAGTCTTTTCTTTTTTAGAATATTTTTTAAGAATAATAATAAAATAATATTAAAAAATAATATTAAAAATAATATTAAAATATTTAAAAATGGAAAATTAACCAAAAAATGGCCCAAATGTGGACCAAACACAGGCAGGAGACAGCAAATGAGAGCACACACCAACAGAAGAGTCTTTTCTTTTTTAGAATATTTTTTTTTATGAATAATATTAAAAATAATATTAAAAAATAATATTAAAAATATTTTAAATGGAAAATTAACCAAAAAATGGCCCAAATGTGGACCAAACACAGGCAGGAGACAGCAAATGAGAGCACACACCAACAGAAGAGTCTTTTCTTTTTTAGAATATTTTTTGTATTTTTTAAGAATAATATTAAAATAATATTAAAAAATAATATTAAAAAATAATATTAAAAAATATTTAAAAATGGAAAATTAACCAAAAAATGGCCCAAATGTGGACCAAACACAGGCAGGAGACAGCAAATGAGAGCACACACCAACAGAAGAGTCTTTTCTTTTTTTATTTTTTGTATTTTTTAAGAATAATATTTAAATAATATTAAAAAATAATATTAAAAAATATTTAAAAATGGAAAAATAAGAAACAAATTCACAAAAACCGAAGGAAGTAATGAAATCCAAGCAAGGAAAGCAGCACTAAGCACAGCAGCAAGGAATGAATCCAAGGAATGAGCAAGGAATGAATCCAATCCAGTTGCTAGCCAAGCCAAGCCAACCCAATGCAAACCCTCCCGGACCTCTTCTCTCTCCCTCGCCCTCTGCAGCAATGAGCTACGGCCGCGCGGAGCCGCTTTGAAAGGGCTCGCCGGCCAATCAAAAACAAACAGCCACGGTGCACTGCTTGGGAGCGCCGGATTGGCTCCCAGGCACCAGCAGCCTCCATCCCATTAACGAAACGAGCGGAAGCTCGTTAAATCTATGGGGGTTGCCGGTTCGATATTTTTAAACCCTTCCGGGTTTGAAAATGTGTTTTGATATCGCTTCGTAAATGCCAAAAATAACGAATTAATAACGAATTACAAAATTAACGAACGAAACCGCACAGGCCTAATAGGTACACATGTGTGAAGCAGTCCGTAGTCCTGGTGCTTGATAGGAAATTGCTGAAAAAGGATGTAATTAAATCTGTTTTCATCTTCAGGGTTGAAAATGGGACGCCTCACTTCAATTTCACCAAACTGGACAAATTCATGGATCTTCTGTGGGAAAACAAGCTAAGCCCAGGTGGAGTTTTCTAAAAAATCTATGCATTCTAGATTCCAGTTTTAAGCTAAAGATTTTTGAAAATTCTGTGCCATAGTTGACTGCTACCGAAAGCTATGACAATTCAACAAACCATTGCTACAATTCATTTTAAGTTAAACTTCTGCTGAGTCTAATAGGAATGTTTGGCATGCCTCAAGGGCAAGGGGAATCTGAGTACTTTGGTAGCAGCAGAATGTTTTTTCGCCAACTTAGCAAAAAGGCTGCATTTTATTTAAGATCGTTCATGTGTAAGATTTGTGTGGCTTTTATTTCTGTTGTTTACTGGAGGAGCTCTCGCCTATAACCTAAAATGGTCCAGGCTACATCCACATTTACCACAAATTGGGAACTATGTATTAAAGCAAAATATTAATCTCAACTGGAGGTGAACCACTGAATCCACTGCAAAATAATAAATCAACACTCCTATAATTTCCATTAAATCAGTAGATCCACTCTGGGAGCACTTCCACACAGCCCTATATCCCAGAATATCAAGGCGGAAAATCCCACATTATGTGCGTGTGGATTCAGATAACCCAGTTCAAGGGAGATATTGTCAGATTTTCTTCCTTGATATTCTGGGATATAGGGCTCTGTGAAAGGGCCCTGGTTGAGGCTATCAGTTGAATTGAGGCCTATACTGAAGTTTTACAATTCCAGATGAATTTGTGGAAATGTTATCAGATGTGTATCTCATATATGGGATCCACCAAAATTTGTGGAAACGTTGTCAGGTGTATATTTCAGATATGGGGTCCACCAAAAAAAACCAAACCAAAACAAAAGCTTGGGATAACTTTTGTTTTGTTTTGAGTTTTCTTGGTGGTCCCCATACTTTTCCTCTACAAAATTACCATTGTGTTTGCCACTGAAATTTAGTGGAAGACCAGTAGGTGTGATGTAGTTTATTTATTTATTTATTTATTTAAAACATTTATATTCCGCCCTTCTCACCCCGCAGGGGACTCAGGGTGGAGCACAACATATATATGGTAAACATTAAATGCGGGGACATAAAACCATAATATATACAAACATTAAAATCACTTATATTCACATTAAAAGTTTCTTAAGAACCATAGCTGGTAGAGAAAGGAATGATATTGACTATACCAGAATAGCAAAGCAGAAAATCCCACATTATCTGAGTGTGGACTCAGATAACCCAGTTCAAAGCAGATATTGTGGGATTTTCTGCCTTTATATTCTGAAATATAGGGCTGTGTGGAAGGGCCCTGGTTGAGGCTATCAGTTGAATCGAGGCCTATACTGGAGTTTTACGATGCCAGATGAATTTGTGGAAACATTGTCAGATGTGCATCTCATATATGGGATCCACCAAAATTTGTGGAAACGTTGTCAGGTGTATATCTCATATATGGGGTCCTCCAAAAAAACAAAACAAAACAAAAACTTGGGGTAGCTTTTGTTTTGTTTTAGGTTTTTGGTTGTCCCCATACTTTTCCTCCACAAAATTACCATTGTGTTTGCCACTGAAATTTAGTGGAAAACCAGTAGGTGAGATGTAGTTGGTAGGGAAAGGAATGATATTGACTATCTAGTTGATTGAAACGAATATTTACCACCACTGTCAGCATCATTTGAAAGTTAATGTCAGCAAATCCATGATTCCTTCATATGTAAATGTACATTTAACACTAGTTAATTATGAGTGGGAAGTTTTTGTTTTATAATAAGTATGCATAAACTGTATTTGTTAGTAATAAAGTTTACATGTAAAAAGAAGCAAATATAAGTAAAAGTACTGTTTACTTCATCATTTATATTTTTTTTATTATTGTTGTTATTATTATTATTTAAAGTATGGTAGGCCAGACCTTGGTCAGCCTGATAGAGCATGCCTTGATATGAGTTTATCTAACCAGAACAATAAAACATTCCTGGAACTACAGTATTTCCTCCTTCAGTTAAATCAAAGCTTTTTAAGACAGCAAATCAGATAAAATGCCAACAGAGAAGTAAAATTGTTGATTAAAAGAATGAGCTGGAGAGTCCCCAGTTATTTTTTTTTTTTACCATTCACAAATAATAAATGTTTCTCTTATCTTCCATAGTCCCCTATCTGCAAAATTTCCCTATAAAACATAATATTATTGTTACTATCACTGGGTACTTTCTTCAGCCTTATTTTTTAATATAGAAGCCTGAATGGCTGAATCTTCTCTGATTATCATTGACATAGAGTACCTCTGAGGTTATGTGTGCATAATTTTGTCCTAAATGTCATTATGATGGTGCAAAAAGTGACTCCCTCGCTCACCTCCTTATTTGTGTTTATAGTGCACCCCATGTCAATATATGAAACTGATCCTATGGATCTTCAGTTCTTTATCATCATGCTCAAAGCAGGACTAAAGGAATCTTATTACCTGTGAATTTAAAACATGTTAATTTATCATTGAATTGATTTCTTTATTTGTTGTTTCAAACAGGATTTGAATTGATGGGAAGCCCTTCAGGATATTTCACTGACTTTGAAGATAAAAATCAAGTGAGACAATGGAAGGACTTGATAACACAGTTGGCTCAGCGATACATAGGTGAGTTTAAAAAAATGTCATTTTGCAGTTCAGTATTGCCACAAAGTTATATTTTAAAATATTTTAATCACTGAATCTTCCTGTAATTTACCCTGTGTTTGGGTGCTCTGTGGCTTGTGGTTGTAAACAATAATAATTTTATAGATGGAAGGACATTGGCAGACAGTTCTATGGAATAGGCAGGACTAAATTAGATTACCAGTCAACCCCAAATTTGGATCTTCTTGAACAAAGCTTCCTGAACTATGGGTCAGGACCTCATTTGTAGTACCTGTAATTGAATGTTGGGGTCGTAAAAAAAATTATGTACCTTGGCACCTAGTATCTGTTCCACACATATACATGAATCTGCTAGCAACCATAAGCAGCAAATGCTTCAGCTGTACTTCATAAAAAAGGAATACATTTTGGAATACAAGGTTGAGAAAAAGACTGAGGGCCCTTTCACACAGCCCTCTATCCCAGAATATCAAGGCAGAAAATCCCACATTATCTGAGTGTGGACTCAGATAACCCAGTTCAAAATAGATATTGTGGAATTTTATACCTTGATATTCTAGGATATAGGACTGTGTGGAAGGGCCCTGGGTTATCTGCTATATATTCGAGTTCAAAACAGATCATGTGGGATTTTTTTCAGCTGTATGGAAGGGGCCTGAGTGTTATATTTGGTCTGCCAGATCTTGTTTTATTGGAAGAACACAATTTGGAACGACAATGTTTCATTTGAGATTTTTTTTTATTTCTGATCATATGAAAGAGTCCTGTGTAATATCACAAAGTTATCCTTAATGCAAATTCCATTTCCAGAGCGGTATGGATTGAATCATGTTTCTAAGTGGAATTTTGAGACGTGGAATGAGCCAGATCACCAGGATTTTGACAATGTCTCTATGACAATTAATGGTAAACTGCTTCTTTTCAGTCATTTTTGTTTTTAACTGAATGAAGAGGGGAGAATGAAAGGCGAGGGATAATAAAGACATATTCCACTTTAGATCTTGTAAAAGCCTGTTTCCATTCTCATCTCACACATACTTCCTTTGCCGTTCAAACACTCTAAAAGTTAAGTCAACATAAATCATTTACCAAACTGGACATAAAGGTGACTTCAGGTATATTACTTAGATGTGACTAAGTAAATTGTAGTAATTGAATGTTTATAGCCATTTTAATGATGTAGAGTGTTTGTGTTCTTTGTCTAACCTTTTACGAAGCCATGAATCGTTTGACCTTTGCTCTTAAAAAGTAGAATTTGGGTGTACCAAATGAGCTGGGAGCCACTGGTTTGCAATTATACATATAAAGTGACACAGATCAATCCATTTGTGTGGGTCAGGGTCACCTAGCTCTTCCCTGCTGGGAGGTGCAATGCCATTGCTGCTAATGAGTTATTTCTAAATTAGAGGGGTTACTTGTGAATGAGGTCAGGTTAAAGAGAGTTATATTCGTACCATTCAGAGTATACATGCTGCAGAATTACAGCAGCATGACTCGTCTTTAAGTGTAGTAGCTCCATCCTGTGGAATCTTGGGATTTGTAGTTTGTTGTGGCACCAAAGTTCTCTGATTGAGAAAGGTAAATATTACACAAAACTACACATTCCAGAAATCCATAGCATCGAACAACGGCAGTTAATGAGGTGTCAAACTGCTATAATTGTGCAATGTGAACACTGCCTTTGTTGTCATGGCCTTTCTCTCAGACTTGTAGAGTGTGACTTGAGCCGAGTAGGTTGCTATGGTGAAGAAGAAATTAAAACCCGGTCTACTGGAGTCATAGTCTGACACTCACTCTCTTAGATCTACACCAGTGGTTCTCAACCTGTGGGTCCCCAGGTGTTTTGGCCTACAACTCCCAGAAATCCCAGCCAGTTTACCAGCTATTAGGATTTCTGGGAATTGAAGGCCAAAACATCTGGGGAACCACTGATCTATACCACACTCATTCTCTTAGATTGTACAATACTGTTATCTAAAAATATATTTTTCTTACCATTACTCTATTATTTCACTCCTAGGATTCCTCAACTACTATGATGCTTGCTCTGAAGGATTAAGGGGAGCCAGTCCTCACCTGAAACTGGGAGGCCCAGGAGACTCTTTCCACCCCTTTCCAAAGTCCCCAATTTGCTGGCACCTCCTCAGTCACTGTTACAATGGAACAAATTTCTTCACCAGAGAGACAGGTGTCAGGCTGGATTACATTGCAATGCATAAGAAGGTCAGATCCATCTTTCAACTGATGTGGAATCCATGACATATAAAATGCTCCTGTCCCCAGTTAAAACACTCAATGTTTGTTTGCCTTCATACACCGAAGGAAATGACTACAGTCATCCCTCCTCCTTTGCAGTTTTGATTTTTACATATTTGATTATATTCATGGATTTGATTAAAATATTCCCTTTGAGAATCTCTGTGACCTCCATAGGACATCTCTATGCCCTCTATGTTCAGTTTCCTCCAGTTACACTGAAAGCCCTAGAAATATACTTATCTGGTAATATCTGGATCTTCCAATATGATTCTGTGGTCAGTTTCCAGCAGAAGTTGACCGTGAAGTCATGTTGGAGGACATGAAATTCCTAGAGAGGTGTTCTCTTATGTAAAAACAATAGCATGTTATTTATTCATGGTTTTTCACTTTTAATGGAGTTTCTATGCCCCTAATCCCAAACAAATTGTTGGAAATAGCAACCTTCTCAAGCCTCCACTAGTTGTTTGTTATGTATATAATTGCTTACTGTATTGAATGTGTGTATTGGTTTGCAATTTTAAGCTGTTTGTTGTGGGAGGGGCTGCAGACCATGTGATCAGAGCTGGACATGTTCAGGAGTCCGAGTCCATTTTAGTTCAGTGTTTTGCTTTAGACTTGTTTAAGATCAATTTGCCTTTAAGAAGACTGTAGGAACATTTCAGTTTCTACTTCAATGCATGAACAGTATGCTTAGAGAGGAAACAGAGAGATGCTTTGGACTATGGGCTATTGTTTCAAAGGAAGATGCCCTGTGCTACCTACACAGAGAAACTAACTAAAATCCTATCATAACTGGATTCATAAGCAAAGTGCCTGTATGCTGTATACATGAAGTTTGTGAGTAAGCCAGCTCTGTTACTTTTAAAGAAGACTGTTTATTTTGTCTCTTGAGAGCATGATTTAAAGGCAAATGATTCATTTTAAAGGAGAGTAGATGTTTTCTGGGCAGCTTACAAGAACATTTCTGTAACTCTGTTGTATATATTTCCAAGAGGTCATTTGACTAGTGGTTTTCCCAAAAGGTTATGAATCCCATTCCCCAAATGGTTGTGGAACTTCACATTTTCCAAAACGAATGTGATGTAGATGATCTGGACTGAATTTGAAAAATCGCCATTCTATGTTACAGATATAGTTTTATACTAGATATTTCTTTACATTCAAAATGCTTCATATACGTTATCTTGTGATCTCTAAAGGGGAGCAATAACATGAGAGAGATTGGGCTAGAATCTATTTAATAACCTGATCATGAACAATATTTGTTATCACAGGGAGGTGGGAGCTCACTTCACATCTTAGAACAAGAAATTGAAGCAGTGGGACAGATTCAGAAGAGCTTCCCCAGCTTTGCTTCTGTGCCAATATACAACGATGAAGCAGATCCATTGGTGGGTTGGTCGTTCCCACAGCCTTGGAGAGCGGAAGTAACCTATGCAGCTATGGTGGCAAAGGTGAGCCCACACTTGATTAACAATATCGGCATTATCCCTTTCTATTCATTTTTGGTAACTGGAATATAGCAAAACAAAGAGTAAACCGGTTGAAGCTTCTTTCTCAGTCCTTTTTGTTTGCTCAGATAGGTATCTGAGATATCACAGCTAGACCAAACACGTAAACTTCTAGGGTTGGAAAGTACATTCTCAAGTGGAATCCCACAATTCAATGGAGATTTTCACCCAGAAACTGATAACAGAAATGTGGCAAACAGAAGGTGCCTCTCACTTGATCGCAGCCTAAGGAAAGCTGGCAGTGTTCTTACCTGGCTAATCAACAGATATAGTAGAAGTGTATGGACCAATACAGTGTTCCCTCAGTACTCCCGCGAACTCGCTGTTTCGTGGTTTTTCAAAAAAAAAAAATATTAAAATACAAGTACTGAGGGAACACTGTATACACAGATCTATAAAGCTCACTTGCTGAAGTGGCGCCGGCGAGGGGCGCAGAGAGGACTGCCAAGGCAGCTTCCGCTGGGGCCTCTTCCTCTGGGGTTGGAGAGGGCCGCCGCCAAGGCAGCTTCCGCCGGTGCTTCTTCCTCTGGGGTTGGAGAGAGCCGGTGCCAAGGCAGTTTCCGCCGGGGCTTCTTCCTCCGGGGCTGGAGAGGGCTGGTTCCAAGGCAGCTTCTGTTGGGGCTTCTTCCTCTGGGGTTGGAGAGGGCCGCCACCAAGGCAACTTCCACAGGGGCTTCTTCCCGGTTGTTCTTCCTTGGGCGACCAGGTGAGAGCCCCATGCCAGTGGGGAAGCAGGGAGAAGGATGGCTCCAGCAAAGGAAGGAGGGGAGGGGGAAAGAAGAGAGAGAGAGAGAGAGAGGAGGGGGAGAGAGGAGTGGGCAGAGCTATACTGTACTTATACAGTATAGCGTCCCTACATCGTGGTTTTTCATTCTTTATTCTGGAGCAAGCAGGATGAGGCGTCAGTGGGTTGGATAGAGTTTGTTAGCTTGTTTAAGTATTTCTCATCTGCATTTCAACACAGTCCTACAAGTCCTTGTCAAAAAAAAAAAAGCAATCTTTTCATGTTGACCTTGGTAGGAGGAAAGATGGTCATGGATAATCTTACAGTTAGGTCTGTTTTATGACTGCTTTCTAATTCTGATAGATAACTTTAGCAATGGGGTAGTAGACTGTACATATTCTAAGGAACATTGCTTGTCACTAATAACGTTTTAGCATCTATTAGGTATGCCATAGCGTATCAGTCACATGCAATCTGGCTGGACTGTACCAGCCATTGGTGGGCAATAGCTTATTTTAATGCATTGAATCAATTTTTATCATGCTTACGTATAGAAGACTATTTTTGATAATATAAGCTGATACTGAGAAAGATGTACTGTAGCAAATTTTGAAACATTTTCATCAAAACAAAGAATTCAGTCCTGAAAATCCAGACGTGTTCTGTAATAAACACAAGGTGGCACCGTTTCTCACATTGATACACAGTGCTGAAAAGCACCTGACTTGAACGGTAAGTAAGAGGAGCTAGCTCATATACTACAGATACCAAAAATCTATATTTTATTTAGCATCAAATATATTTGACATTGTGTTCTCTTATCTTCGTTATCTTCATGATTGCATCTCTGTCTATGAACCAGCTCGAACCCTAAGCTCCTTTGGGGAGGCCCTGCTTTCCCTCACCCTATTTTCATGGGGGACTTGCATCCCTAACTACTGTGAAAAATGGGGGGGGGGGGGGGGGGGGTGAGGGCTAATGTAATTTTCTATTGAAGTCAGAACAAACAGGTCGATCTAAGTCGAAGTCAGTTCACAGCAGACAAAGTCAAGGCATTTAAAAAACCTGTCCAAATTTTGGAGCTTGTAAGCCTGGGGAGTTGGAAAGTCTGACTCACACATCCTGTGAGTCAGAGGATGATTGCTACATCAGCGTTTTTTCAAAAGAACCTGAAAAAAAATACTGGCCATCCTTTTTCAGAAGCAGAGGCTTCTGCTGGGTACTGAAATAATAATAATAATAATCATCATCATCATCATCATCTTTATACCCTGCCACCATCTCACTGAAGGGACTTGCGATGGCTCACAAAAGCATTCCAGAGTGCCACACATAAAATAAACAATACATAAACATATAAACGATGCCCACCAGACCCTTCCAGTATTTTCTGTTGATCATGGGTGTTCTGTGTGCCATGTTTGATTCATTTCCATTGTTGGTGGAGTTCAGAATGCTCTTTGATTGTAGGTGAACTTTAAATCCCAGCAACTACAACTCCCATGTGACAAAATCTATCCCCCAACAACCCCACCAGTATTCAAATTTTGGCATATTGGGTATTTGTGCCAAATTTGGTCCAGTGAATGAAAATACATCCAGCATAACAGATGTTTACATTATGATTCAGAACAGTAGCAAAATTACAGTTATGAAGTAGCAACAAAAATAATTTTATGGTTGGGGGTCACCACAACATGAGGAACCGTATTAAGGGGTTGCAGTATTAGGAAGGTTGAGAAACACTGACTTAGAAGAAGGTAGGGGAATGGGGGTGGTTTTAATGTGTTTCTGTTAAACATGTGTACAGCAAATTGAAAGTGCTGAAAGAGAACACGGTTGGGTGCAGAAATCTTGGTTGCACAATCTAGTTTCTCATTCAATAGTATATTGGTTTCAAAAACACTTTTAACAGATTGCCTATTTGCAGAGCTGGACATTCTTAAAAAGGTAACCTTCTGCCCTGTGTATTTGGGCAGAGGCCGCAAATCCCTTTACATCTGATTAGTTACACTATTGCAATCCTCCTCTTAAGTTCCTAATTTTAGCAAGACTGGGAATTAGGTCAACTAAAGCCACTGGAGAGACTTCTTAGTGGATCTTGGTGGTGTTAGTCTTGTTTTCAAAGCCTGCACGTGGATCTAATTTCTTTCACAGGTAGTCCTGAGTGCCAGTGTATTATCAGTGGTACAATGGAGGGACAAATGAGATGGGAGGAAGAAAAATTATGATCTCACTCCTAAATGTTTATTCTTAAGGCTGTGCATATGTTTCTGCAGAAAGCACAGAAAATCTATGAAATGTGATCTTGGTCCTGGATGCAAATGAGAGTCTCAACTTTTAATAAATATGAACAACTTCCTAGTCTTGTTGCTTGCAAAGGTCTGAAAGTATACACATTCAAAAATACATGCTGAAATACCAGAAGCCCTAGAGCTTGTGGAGAGAGGTAAAGTATTGATTCAATGCTCTGCAGAATTTCTTCCTCTTCACTCTTGTTATCAAAAATAGGGAAGTACTTATGTGAAAAGAGGTTTTTTTTTCCATGTCAGGAGCGACTTGAGAAACTGCTAATCGCTTCTGTTATGAGAATTGGCTGTCTGCAAGGGGGTTGCCCTGGGGATGCCTGGATGTTTTACCATACTGTGGGAGGCTTCTCTCATGTCCCTGCATGGGAAGATGGAGCTGACAGATGGGAGTTCACCCCACTCCCTGGATTCAAACCATTGACCTTTTGGTCAGCAGTCCTGCCGGCACAAGGGTTTAACCCATTGTGCCACCGGGTTAAAGTCAAAAGAGTACTACTGCAAAATCAGATAAATCATGCAAATCACTTAAGTTCTGCAGATCACTGAATTAATATGAAATTTTGATAAAGTGCAGACTACATAAAACCCAAGATAAATTAATATTTCAATATATTAATTTGAAATAAAAAATGTAAATACGTTTTTCTTAATTCCTCAGTGAGATGGTTGACAAATTTTTTAGATCTAACCAATGTGACTCAGATATGGTACTTTGTGTGACCAACACAGTAATTGTAAAAGATGCAATTCCATTTTTCTTCGCCAGGTTATTGCCCAGCATCAAAACCTACTGATTGCTCAAGCCAACAACACTATAAACTACACTTTGCTGAGCAATGACAATGCCTTTCTGAGCTACCATCCGCATTACTTCACCCAGAGGACGCTGACAGCTCGCTTTCAGATGAACAACACAAATCCCCCGCACGTCCAGATGGTGAGGAAGCCTGTGCTCACTGTGATGGGCTTGCTGGCCCTGCTAGGTACAGCAAACACTTAAAATCATCATTGCTATTGCTAGATCACTAGAATGGGAGAGTCCTTTGTTCCTCAAATGTCAAATAAGACAATATATTTTACTATCAGTGCATCTAAGATGAAGGATGTTTCAGGTTTCCTGTTGTCTGTGGGTCACCATTTATTAACAGTGGTAGTTCCCCCTATAGTCTAATTCTTACTGCCTGATTCTTTAGCAGGCGCACATGCTATATATGATAAAAAGGAAAGAAGCATCATGGGTGGGTTAGCAGTGATAGCAACCACATTTAATTGCAGAGAAAGAGTTGTTTGTAAGTTGAAATTAAATCCAGACAAAATAGGTATTCCTGGTGAGTTGTAAGGCAGACCAGAGTGTGGGGTTATAGCATGTATTGGATGGGATCACACTCCCCCTGAAGAGACAGGTCCGAAGTCTGGAGGTGATCCTGGACCCATTGCTGACCCTGGAACTCCAGTGGTGGTCAGGAGCGCCTTTGCACAGTTAAAGCTGTGCTCATACTTTGAGATGCCAGATCTGGCCATAGTAGTTCATGCTTCAATCACATCTCATTTGGATTACCATAACACACACTATGTGGGGCTGCCTTTGAAGATAGTTTGGAAGCTTCAACTGGTTCAGAGATCAGCAGCCAGGTTACTAACTGGAGCGCTATACAGGGTTTGGACAACTCCCATGTTATGGCAGCTCCACTGGCTGCTGGTCTGTTTCCGGGCTAAATACAAAGTGCTGGTTGTTACCTATAATGCACTAAATGGTTTGGGACCAGGCTGTTTGACATCCCACATCCATGTTTATAAACCTATTTGGACTCTGCGATCATTAGAGGGAGCCCTCCTTTTGGTCCCACCACTATCTCAAGTGCGGCTGGTGGGAATGAGAGAGGGGGCCTTCTCTTTGGTTGGTCCTTCCCTCTGGAACTTCCTCCCAAAAGAACGTAGAACAGCCTCTTCACTCCTCTCCTTCAAGAAAGAATTAAAAACCTATCTTTGTTTGCTGGCTTATGGAAGGGAGGATGAATGATATCACTAACTCCATCTTAGTGGACCAAGTTGACAATGACTATTTAAGTTTATTTTATTGAAGAGCTATATATTTGTTCATATTTTTATACAGATTTTAACTGTTTGTACGATCAATGATGCCTGACTGACTGATTTGTAACCTTTTAGCCCATTGGTTCTCAACCTGTGGGTCCCCAAGTGTTTTGGACTACAACTCCCAGAAATCCCAGCCTGTTTACCAGCTGTTAGAATTTCTGAGAGTTGAAGACCAAAACATCTGGGCACCCACAGGTTGAGAAACACTGTTTAGCCAAGATTGTTTCTGTTTTAATTGTATGTGTAGATGTTTTATTTTTTTATAGCATTGAATGTTTGCCATGTTTTCATGTTATATTTGGAAGCTGCCCTGAGTCCCTTCGGGCAGAGAGGAGCAGGTTAGAAACAAATTGTTGTTGGGTTGTTGTAGGTTTTTTCGGGCTATATGGCCATGTTCTAAAGGCATTCTCTCCTGACATTTCGCCTGTATCTATGGCAAGCGTCCTCAGAGGTAGTGAGGTCACTACCTCAGAGGATGCTTGCTATAGATGCAGGCAAAACATCAGGAGAGAATGCCTTTAGAACATGGCCATATAGCCCGAAAAAACCTACAACAACCAAGTGATTCCGGCCATGAAGGCCTTCGACAATACATTAAATTGTTGTTGTTGTTGTTTTGTTTTGTTTTGGGAGATGCAATAAGGTCAAACAGCCAATACAACAAAAGCAGAGATCTGCATCCAAGGATTTGTTTTTGAGTTCCATATGAACCAGTTCCTTCTCACATGTGCAGGTCTAAGGCAATGCTCACGCTTTCTGTCCCTACTCTTTCTGCTAATTTTATGTCCCTCTGGTGCTAGTAGCAGTGTGTCCTTCTCATCTTCTCAGGACAACCGCTTCCCAAACCTTCTTTTTCAAGCCCCTTGTGTCCCCTGGATTGCCTCTCTGAGAAGCTGTCTTCTCCCCCTCTCTTCTTCCTCCTCTTCTTCTGGCATCTGCTTTTCTCCCTCAGCCATGCAGATCATTTCCAGCCTTTTAAAAAAGTCAAATCTAGACCTCACAATCTATAATGGCTTCCAGAAACAGGTTCCAAAAGCAAAGCAGCAGCCTGATAGAGGCATCTAAAATTATTTTCATGTTTATTTATTGTGCCAGAAGCGAATTGAGGGCACAGTTGTAATGTATTTAAAAACACAAACAAAGTTAAAAACTTGGCATTATACTAAATGTCCTTTGACCAGTAGCTGGCCACTTGAGTGCCTCTGGTGTTGCTGCAGGAAGGTCCTCCATTGTGCATGTAGCATTGTAGTAGGTGGCCTGTGGTTTGCTCTTCTCCACACTCGCATGTTGTGGACTCCATTTTGTAGCCCCATTTCTTAAGGTTGGCTCTGCATCTTGTGGGGCGAGAGCGCAGTCTATTCCACTCCTTCCAAGTCGACCAGTCTTCTGTGTGCCCAGGGGGGAGTCTCTCATTCGGTATCAGCCATGACTTGAGGTTCCGGATTTTAGCCTACCACTTTTGGTCTCTCGTTTGCTGAGATGTTCCTACGAGTGTTTCTATAGATTTTCATGTTAACATTAGATTTTTCTTGAGTGTGGTAGAGGGACATACCAGGTATTGAACTGTTTCTGTCACCAAGCTACAGCCTCTTGGTCTTCTACATTCTCTAAAATACATACATTTTCGATATCTTATTAAACAAAAATCTTTTTTATTCACATCTATCTCTCTTAAGCAGGAGAGGAACAAGTCTCTGCCAATATTTACAGTCATGATGCTGAGGAGCAAAATACACTTGGAGTCATAGCTAGCCTTCACAAACCTATAGAGCTTCAAGAGTCAGACAGCTGGCAGGCATCTGTACTAATCTATTCCAGCAATGATAATCAGACTTCCTCAAACATCAGTGCTGTGACAATAAATGTAACTAGCATCCCCAAACAGAAAGGTAAGATTGAGCCTTGATTGTTTCTGTGCCTATTTACCAAATGCAAATCATGTTTTTGCAATTGATAAATTATTCATAGTTTATAGCTGATTTACAGACCTTGTCTCACACAATTGAATCATGATATAGAGAGAATACGATCCAACAGTCACATGTTTCAATACTAGTGAGTGTTGCGATGCAAACATTCTTTGGTTCTTCTGATATGAATTAGGTTTTTAGCATCTAAAATCTTGTGAGAGGATTTGTTTTCCAGAAAGTTTACTTTGGCATCTGTCCTATGTTTGCATAAAAAAGCTCTTCACTTTCATGCATGTTAGGGGTGTAGGACCTCTGTGAAAGTGGAAAAAACAAGCATTTCATATACCATATATTCTTGAGTATAAGTCAAGTTTTTCAGCCCTGTTTTTAGGCTGAAAAAGCCTCTCTCAGCTTATACTTGAGTCAAAGTTATTTATATTTCAAAATCTCTAGGTCCTCAAATGCAACTCTGTGGCCAAACTCTGCCAACAGTTGACCATTTTGTTGGAGAACCTACAGATTTCTAGAAATAACATCTTAATCTACAAATAATTGAATCTGCAAAAGTTAAAGCTGCAGATGTGGAGCGTTGACTACTTCACAAGGTTAAAGGTAAAAATGACCTCAGCTGATTGTTCCACTAAAGGAGAGGTGTAAATTGTTATTTATTGTTATAAATTGTTATGGTGGTAATAGTGAGTACACACAGAGGCACCCCTAGGTAATTTTCAATGGTAAGAAAACAGTATTTTGGTGCCCCCCTGCCCCCCCCCCCCAACCAATCACTGATATATATTTTCATGGGAGTTCTGTATGCCATATTTGGGTCAATTCCATCATTGGTGGAGTTCAGAATGCTCTTTGATTGTAGGTGAACTATAAATCCCAGCAACTACAACTCCCAAATGACAAAACCAATTTTTGAGTGAAGGACATACATTGGGTTGTTAGGTGTCTTGTGTCCAAATTTGGTGTCAATTCGTCCAGTGGTTATTTAGTTCTGTTAATCCCATAAACAAACATTACATTTTTATTTATATAGATGGGGGTGCTGCATTTGAAGTCTACAGTTTATACCTTGACACTGAATAAAAGTAACATGCTACTTTTCCCTTGTGTTCCTGAAGAACTTGTTTATGTGACGTACTACATGGATAACAACCTCACCAACCCATATTTACAGTGGAAGAAACTGGGAGCTCCAGATTTCCCTTCTCTCAAGCAAATGGAGCAGATAAGAGAAGCTGAGGTATTATTTGTGTGAAATAATTCCATATGCAATCCAGGGCAATATGGTCAGCCCTCCATATTCATATACAATCAAAGGATTCAACCATCCACAGCTTGAAAATATCCTCCCACCCTAATTTGGTAACAATGGGCATCCTGGAACCAAACCCCAGCAAATACCAAGAATCAGTTTGTACATAATTATTGGAAAACAAATCCCACCAAATACAGAAGCCGCTCAGGTCCTGAATCAGCTGTGATGGCTTGGATGAGGGCTAACAAACTGAAACTTAATCCTGACATGACAGAAGTCCTCTTGATCAGTCGTGGGACCGATCGAAGTATAGGATGGCTACCTGTGCCCAACAGGATTACACTCCCCCTGGGGACACAGGTCTTGCAGTCTGGGGGTCCTGCACTCAGTGCTGACTCTTGAAGCTCAGGTGTTGGCAGTGGCCGGGAGGGCTTTCGCACAATTAAAATTGGAGATGATCCGACCACAGTGATTTACCTACAATATTTGGTGGGGCTTTTCTCTCAAATAAGAATAGACAGGGTTTTAGGTATGTATGACTAAGACTTAATCTTAAGTTTTCAGTTTCACTGTGAAATAATAAAACTGAAAATGAACAAAGCAAAATTTAGATTTCTCTTTCTGGGTGAATCTACTTAGAACACCTCAATGGCTGCCATCTCCCTCCTCAACATCCCTGGTAATACTGTAGTTGTCCCTTACCTTGGATAATTTCCCCCCATCCTTCTAGAACAGATATTCCCAAACTCTAATCTTCCAGGTGTTTTGGACTTCAACTCCAGCAACAGATATTAAAAGCCCACTGCATATTAAAATTCCCTTAATTGTAATTCCCTCTTCTTCCCAGGGAATACTGTAAATGCAGTTTAGAGATGGGGCAGGCAGAATGGTCAGTATCTTCATCAAACTGCAACTCCCAATATGCTTTCAGAGAAGCCTATATCAATATGAATGATATTGTAGTGTAGCTTAGTCCATAGAAAATATAATACAACTTTCTTTCTGCTTACCTGTCACTTGCAGTTTTAGTCTCCAGTTCCATATATGGGGCGAGAGTTGTCAGCATTATCAATTTTGTGCTCTCTAGACATTTGTTGCTTGCTTTGATTGCTGTTTTCCTTAGAGGCGACTCTGCAGTATGCTAAGGCGACACTCTAATATCTATATCTATATATATAGATATATATCAATAGAGAAATTTATGTCATATATAAATATTTGTGCTAAAAATATTTTGACAAACAAGGCTCATGTAAATACTTCCCCTTTTCGTTTCACTTGTGATCCATATCCAATATTATTCTGTAAACACATGCCTAAACACCGGGAAGTCTGTTTCCTGTTGATCTCCCTTGAAGGCAAACTGGTTGCTGCTCAACGGACAGTTAATCTAGTGTTTACCTTTTACTAAAGGAAGAACAGTTGTTTTCAGCAAACATACACCCTTTAATGTAGGACCAAGGTGGTTTGTAGGGGTGAATCATTGCCTCATTGCCTCATCCCATCATTATTTACCCACAAATCTAATTTGAAGATAACACTTTACCCTTTGTTGTGGTGAAATTTCCCCTTCATCATCATTACCAGATGGGCTTCTTTCTGATATTATTATTATTATTATTATTATTATTTACCATATTTCTATCTTGTTACTTCTCAACCCCCAAAGGGGGACTTAGGATGGCTTACAATGGGCACTGTTACGATGCCACTACATAGCAATTACAATAATAAAACCACAATTGAACATAAGTCATAGTTAAAAACAATACATAAGCAATCATTAAAACAGTAAAACAATCTCATCAGCTGTATCGCCGTTCCGGTCAATGTCCTTCTAAAGTGCTGCTTGCATCTATTTTCCGAAAGCCTAGTCCCAAAACCATGATTTTAATTTCTTTTGGAAAGCCAGGAGGGAGGGAGCCGATCTTACCTCAATCGGGAGTGTGTTCCATAGGTGGGGAGCCACCACTGAGAAGGCCCTGTCTCTCGTCCCCGCCAGACACATCTGTGCTGTTGACGGGAGCGAGAGCAGGGCCTCCCCACATGATCTTAGATTATGAGGTGGGACGTAGGGGTGGATGCGTTCGGACAAGTAAGCTGGGCCTGGACGCTTTATAGGTCAAAACCAGCACTTTGAATTGGGCTTGGAAATAGACCGGCAGCCAGTGGAGCTGACATAACAGGGGGGTGGTACGTTCCTTGGGTGTCGCCCCAGTTAGTAATCTGGCTGCCAACCGTTGGACTAGCTGAAGTTTCCAAACCGTCTTCAAAGGCAGCCCCACGTAAAGTGTGTTGCAGTAATCTATTCGGGAGGAATAGATTACTGCATATTCGGGAGGAATATATTAGGAGGAAATATATTAGGAGGAAAAAGTGTAAACACAAAGGAAGGCAAATAGATGTGATCAAGGGTCAGTCTAGCCCAGAATCCACCTTACTATAGCAGCTAAGTGCAGCCCCACTGCTTTACATAACAGCTTTTTTTGTGATTGTCTCCCATCTGTGGCCCTTCTATGTTTGCCCATCAGTTCTTCAATCTTTTTTCTCATGAATGAACAATTAATTGTGGAGGAAAATATGGTTTAGTGGTTAGTGTGCAAAGCAATAATATTGCTGGGTGTGAATCCCTATTCAGCCATGTCTTTGGAACAGTCTATATCTAACATGTTACGTAAGGTTTTTCATGAAGATAAAAATGGAAAATACCATGAATATTTCCCTGAGCTCATTAGAAAAAGGGAACATAGGCTACAGGGATAATTGACAGCTTCTTTGTCAATGGCGTAGTGAATCTGCTTGCAGTCCAAATATAAAAAGAGCTACCAGATAGAAAGAGCCTTTTGGGGGCCCATGGTTGAGTTCCTTGGATACCTCCATTAATGTCTCGGCTGAATCCTACTGGGAATTCACCACCCCATTGACATAGAAGCCAACAGTTGTCACTGATCAAGAAAAGTCTTTATAAATGGTGCTCCTATTTTTGATGGGAGGAGATTAGTCAAAACAGAAGCTCCGAACAGTGGCTTCGGCGTTCTGCCAGGCTCAGAGAGAGAACGATAAGAGTCTCTAAGCAAAAGTGAAACCAAATTCTGAGCATTTGGGACATACTTTAACGAGGAGATAAAAGTCCTAAGTGCAGGATACGTAGTCAGATGAATCATCGTTTGGAATCAAGTCAAGTTCTTGTCTTTGTTTCTCAGAAGCTTTGCTTGGAAGGATTCATGCTTAAGTGCCTTTATTTCATGGTTTTGATTCTTGGATTCTATGTTTTTATATTCATGCCTTGGATTCATGTTTCCTGGTTTCTTGGATTTTATTAGAGAAGTTTTTGCCTTGGTTTTTCATGGACTATTTCTCTGACTACTTTGTCCTGGCTTATCTTCATACCTAATTAGATTTATCTATTTCTTTAAAGTGCTTTTTACTTTACTGCTTTTTAATTATCTTCAATAAAGGGATTGTTTTCCTACTCAACTGCGTGGTGTTTAAAGTCAGAGGTCATTTCCTGGTCTGGAGTGCAACAGGTTTGTTACACCTTTTCACACTATTCCTTCAGAAAGTTTAAAGCATTTATTACAAGATGGTTTCCTATACAGGCACTTATTAGTTTCATACAATGAAGTGAATGCATATGTACTCTGAGCTTTTGTAATATCCCTCAGCATATCTGCGGAATTAATATTTACAAGGTTACGATACAATATACGCTTCTTAGAAATCATCTGGCTTTGTTCCTGTTTTCATTTCACAGGATCCTGTGGTGAAAGGGCCATTTCTGCTTCCTGCATCAGGCCATCTGATGCTGAAACAAGAGCTCCCAGTTCCAGCTGTTTTGCTCCTCCACATCTGCGCAAAGCCCCTTGCTGCTCCCAATCAGGTGGGCACCACATCCTAGCCATTATTTGCTTATGTTTGTAGAAACTTTATTCAAATTCAAAATAAATATTTGTGCTTGTTTGAGTTCACCGTAGAACCACGTTGTTTGGAAAGCGGGGAGCCCGAAATCTCTTGGTGCATTTCAGGAAACAGCTACAGGTGATTTTGTTCTTCTAAGCCAATCTTATCCGTGATTTTGATTTGATAAGAGGCAGAATTCACCTTGCTGTACACCTGATGGACCTGTTCTTCCACCACACTGTAAATAGTTCTGTGATAGAGAATCTGTCCAAATAGTGAAGGGAGCTAAGGAAAAGCAACAGCTCATCAGTCATTCTGACAGCATAGCCCATGCATGTCAAATGCAAAACCCACCGTACGAATGCAGCCCACCACATCATTTTATGTGGCCTGCAAGACTTTCAATGCCTGGACAACATAGTTACATTTATACAATTTTACACAAATGAAGGCAAGCATAAGGCTGATGTGGCCCTCAGTGAAAATGAATTTGACGCCCCTGTCATAGCCTATAACTTGGGCATGGGTAAACTTCGGCCCTCCAGGTGTTTTGGACTTCAACTCCCAGAAATCCCAGCCAGCTTACCAGCTATTAGCAATTGTGAGAGTTGAAGTCCAAAACACCTGGAGGGCCAAAGTTTGCTCATGCCTGATACAACTGTACCTAGTCCTCATCAGGGAACTATGGTTGTGTCTTGGTTGTAGAACCATCAAGGGTGGGTAAGATCTATAAAAAACTATTAAAATGGGCAGTAGAGTCATAGGACGAAAAGAATTATATGAAAAGGTGGAAAGAAAACATAGGAAGGACGATTAGACGAGACGAGTGGGAGGAAATATGGAAGAAAAAATAAAATACACGTACGTAACCAACTTAAAAGAGAATTGGATAAAGATGTCACACAAGTGGCTATGACCCCGAAGAAGCTTGGAAATGTTATAGCAATATGAGTACTACTTGCAGGAAATGTAATGATATTTCCACATGTGGTGGACATGTGATATTTTGGAAAGGAATACAGAAAGAAATACATTTTTTAGAAATACAGATACCTTGGAAACCAGAAGTATTTTTATTAGGAATACATGAGATGGAAGCAGAAAAATATATAGACAAATACGATTTTTGATGACCACAGCAGCAAGAATATGTTATGCGAGAAGATGGAAATAAAAAGAAACACCTGAAGAAAACAAGTGGATAGTGAAGATATTAGAGATTTGAAATATGGACAAGCTCACTTTTCTCGTTTCAAGGAATAAAGGAATAAAAGTGAAGGAAATAGATTGGAAAAAAGTCACTGAATATTATAAACAAAGAAACAAGAAGATTTTGAACTAGTAGAAAAGAAATGGGCAATATTAAAACAAAGACCACAAGAAAGGAGGGTGAGAAGATAAAAAGAAGGAGAAGGAGAAAAGAAGAGAAGGAGAAAAGGAAAGATCTCAGGAAGATACCTGGAAACCAAAATCTCTATTGTTTATTTTTGATATCACTAGTATACTCATATTTACTTACATGTTTATAGCCATTATAAATATCTCTCTTCCCCCCCCCCTTTCCCCCCCTTTTTTCTCCTTTTTCTCTATCCTTGACAACACTATTCTATGGTCTGTTTGTTTTCTCTCTCATTTTAATATTAATTTTGTTTTAACTATATATTCTAATAAAGTTTATTATAAAAAAAGGTGAGTAACTGCATGCAACCTATACATCATGAGGTGGGCAACTGCAAAAGGTCCAGGGGGTATGAAATTTTGCCTGAAAGAGCCACACTATTCTAGAAAATCCCACATTTCATGATCCAGAGTTTGGAAGCAACTGTTTGTATATTTATTCAGAAAAAGTACCCTATATATTCTTGTATGGGTCTAGAAATTTAGTTTAAAAAATCAACCTCTCAAAAATGGGTAGACTTACTCACTCAGAGCGGCTTACAAGATATATTTTCATACAATATATTATATTATTAGTATAGTACAATATCAGTATTATATATTACTATATTGCACTATACCATTATGTTGTAATATTATTAGTAATATTACATGTAATGTAAATATATGATTATAATATTGTATTGTTATTACTAATATTATATTGTGTTACATTATAATATTATAAATATTGTTTGGTTTTCTGAGTTAGTTAGTCAGCCATTTATTTATTTATTTACCATATTTATATGTCTTCTTTCTCACCCCGGCGGGGACTCAAGGCGACCTAACAATAGGCAGCAATTTGATGACTTACACATATATCAAATAAACAATTACAATTAAAACCAAACAATTAAAACCAGAAGCTCTTTGTAAGCTCTCCCTGATCATGCTTTAGATTTGTTTTTTTGGTTTTTTTTTTTTGTCGTGTCAGGAGCGACTTGAGAAACTGCAAGTCGCTTCTGGTGTGAGAGAATTGGCCGTCTGCAAGGACGTTGCCCAGGGGACGCCCAGATGATTTGATGTTTTTATCATCCTTGTGGGAGGCTTCTCTCATGTCCCCTTTAGATGATGAATTGTCATTCAACTGCATTACAGAACCTAAGTCTTGTCTTACACTTTCTATACATGGTGGTTTTTCATCTAACTCACTCTTGTCTTACCAGGTGAGCAACATCCGCCTCATTGGTCTCACAAAGGGGCAAGTTTTGGTAACGTGGAATGACAGCTGTGTGAATTCAAAGTAAGTTACTCCCTAAAGCTATGTGGAATTATGTTTGATTCATTTGTAGAGTCTTTGCCATCACTTTCTGTATCAAACCATGCTACTAATATATTCACTGTAGTGTATTTTGCAAGTTCCAGTTTGGGTTTGGGTTTCCAATTGAAAAAAGACCATTCTTCTTCCCCTGTCCACTCCCAAACTAATAATGATAGTGTGTTGAGGGCACTGGGAAATCGCTTAGTCTTTTAAATTCCCCATGTCTTTTATCTCAAGCATTTCAGTCTCCAGCTGCCCCAACATTTCCTGCTTCTTATCTCCAGGAAGGATGGAGAATTTTATTTGGATCTTCTTTATATACAAGGAAATGCTTTCTGAAATCCATAAATTGGGAAATGAAGCATAGAAAAATGCATACATAGGGAGAAATATACATGTCAGGGAAAAGACATGGAAAGGTGCTCTAAGAAATGCATTCATTTGGGGTGGAGGAAGACGTAGGAAAATACCTACCATGGAAGAAATGTATGCAAATATAGCCTTACTCTGAACCTAGTGAAAGTGGACCCAACCAATACACCTTTTTGGCAAGGAGAGAGTTAAAGGCAGGCAGTTGTCTAGATAACATATATACTCGAGTATTAGTCGGGTTTTTCAGCCCTTTTTTAGGCTGAAAAGGCCGCCCTCGGCTTATACTCGAGTCAAGGTTATTTATTATTTTACTTTATTATTATTACTATTATTATTACTTTACTCTATTTATTATTATTATCATTTATTATTTTGCTCTATTATTATTACATTTATTATTTTACTCTATTATTATTATTACATTTGTTATTTTACTCTATTATTACTGTTATTATTACATTTCCATGATTTTTCTCTATTATTATTATTATTATTTATTACATTTATTATTTTGCTATTATTATTATTATTATTATTATTATTATTATTATTATTATTATTATTATTGAAAGGATACCTAAGCACATTTACATTGAAGAAGGTTACATTTAAGAAGGTTTAATCAGAGTTGGACAGTCTTATCTCAAATTACAGTTTTATGTAAATATTCAAAAACATTTAATCTACTGATGCCCCAATTAATGTAATTTTATTGGTATCTATTTTATTTTGAAATTTACCAGTACCTGCTGTATTTCCCACCCTCGGCTTATACTTGAGTCAATATGTTTTCCCAGTTTTTTGTGGTAAAATTAGGTGCCTCGGCTTATATTCGGGTCGGCTTATACTCGAGTTTGTGAGCCAAAATACTACGCAGAAAACCCTGATGTTAAAATAGATCATGAAAGAGATAACTTCCGTGGGGTAGAGTGGTGGTGGTTTACTTTTTGCCTTCAAATAAAAGCATCTGGAACAGATTGGTTCCATTTCTGCAGATGTTTACCTAAGAATCACTTTCGCAAACATAAACATCAATATGTTTGGGTTGTTGTAGGTTTTTTCGGGCTATATGGCCATGTTCTAGAGGCATTCTCTCCTGACGTTTTGCCTGCATCTATGGCAAGCATCCTCAGAGGTAGTGAGGATGCTTGCCATAGATGCAGGCAAAACGTCAGGAGAGAATGCCTCTAGAACATGGCCATATAGCCCGAAAAAACCTACAACAACCCAGTGATTCCGGCCATGAAATCAATATGTTTGTAAACCTTATAATTCATTCCATGTCTTTTCTTCATAGGTGTCTGAAAAAATTTGAAGTAGTATTCTCTCAAGATGGGAAAGCATACAAGCAGATCAGTGTGAAAGACAGCATAGTTACAATGCTAATCTATAGTCCAGGTAAAGCTCTTTTTTCTTTATGTTTACTTCTAGAATCAGTGTCAATTCATATTGTATCAGTTAGTGAATGACATTTGAAATCCTTACCTATGTTTTGTGATTTATGTTGGAAAGTATAGAACTTGTGTAAGGAATATGTTGGCATCCAATGTTTTTTGCTCTGCAACTCCCATTACTCTTAGTTTGCATAGTCGGTAGTGAGAATTAATGGGTAATGTAGTCCAAAAACATAGACCCCAGTTTTCCATCCCTCATGTAGACTCCCTCCAACCTTTGAAATATTTTTTTTCCTTTAGATTAAGGATTGAGTTCATTTTCATTATTGTAAAAAGCTAAGGGGGATTCTTTCTGCACTCCTAAAACATTATTCCAAGATTTCTGATGGTGCAGGCAAAGGTTTAGAGTGCTTTTGGAAAGGCATATTTAGACATCTGAACTTTCCCTTACAAAAAGGACCCACAAGGAGTTTATATTTTTCTACAATCTTTCACAAGTTAGTGGGGTGTTTTCCTTATGTTTTAGGTCCCCTGAGACATTTTCGTCTGAAGACATGCATTGTTTTTAACTACAGGAAGTCAGTAGAAGACACTTTATATTCATACCTTGTTTCAAAAAGTGCTTACATTGACCTGAGGGGATTAAAATATGGCAAAAAAATCCCCACACTCTATAAAGACCCAAAATGGAAAAAATGATTTTTTTTATCCGTGGGGACTACAGAAATGACCGTAGGGCCCCACATGTGTCCTAAGGATCACAGTTTACCTTATCACAGTGGTTCTCAACCTGTGGGTCCCCAGGTGTTTTGGCCTACAACTCCTAGAAATCCCCACACTGAGAAACACTGCCTTATCCTGTTCTAGATGCTCATTCGGGGCCAGTGTTCATGCATCATTTTTAAAATACACAGTTTTGGGTCCTAATTTTTATGTTTTATTAAGCTGAGTCCTTATATACATGCAGAAATACCCCAGAGTTTCTCAGTACATGAGACCTTGACCTAACTACATGCATTGGCCTTCCCTTACCAGGAACGACTGTCACGGGATTTTACAAAGTGCGTGCTGTGGATTATTGGAACAGGCCAGGCCTGTTTTCTCTACCAGTTTACTACAACGGAGCATCTTGAGAAGGATCGAGAGTTCCCTACAGATGTTACAGAATCAAGTCTGGAGTTTGCACATGGATATTTTATACTATGCAAGCCAGAGCCTTAATCACAAAGTACCATGTCATCTTCCTTGCTCTGATTTCCTCCCAACATTTCTGATTTCAGAGTCGTCGTGTCCCCCCCCCCCCCACCCAACCATTACTCCAATATATTTACTCCATATTACATTTCCAAGCTCCCAGATGTGTTGGGCTTCATTTTCAATTAGTCCTAAGCAATATATCCAGTGGTGTGGGATGACAAGATGCAGTTCAAGCAGACTGCTGGATGGCAAACCAAGCATTGCCTTAGAACAAAGCTGCAATTCTTTCTGGACTCCTCTTTTTGCAGACCAACATTGTTACTGTTAGTAGCTAGTGTAGAATAATCATCTCAGACTGAGTGTTATATGATGTGATCATGTATTATTTTTAAAAAGCTTTTGGGATGGTGTGCAGCATTCATTGTTGTTTACTTGTTCCGTTGCTTCCGATTTCGTGACCTCATGGACCAGCTCACGTCAGAGCTCCCTGTCAGCCCTCGCCACCCCCTTCTCCTTCAAGGTGAAACCAGTCACTTCAAGGATACCATCCATCCATTTTGCCCTTGGTTGGCCCTTCTTCCTTTTTTCTTCCACTTTCCCGGCATCATTATCTTCTCCAAGCTTTCCTGTCCTCTCATGATGTGGCCAAAGTAGTTGTGAAATGGCTTATTCCAGTCCATTTCAGTTCACTGACCCCCAAAATGTCTGTCTTTAATCTTGATATCTCACCAATAACTACGTCCAATTTAACCTGGTTCATAGACCTTCCATTCCAGGTTCCTATAGTGTGTTGATCTTTAGAACATCGAATTCGTTGTTCACCTCCAGCACTGTCTGCCATTAGCCCTCCTTTCGACTTTGAGCTAACTGCACTGTCTCGTCTGGGCTAGTTGAACTTACCCTCTGTTCCTCCCCAGTAACATTTTGACCATCTTCTGACCTGGGAGTCCCATCTTGTGATGGTATACCAACATATCTCTGGTTGTACTGATCCATCCAGTTTTCCTGGCAAGAATACTGGAGTGGGTTGTCATTACCTTCCCCAGGGATTGTATTTAGTCTGACCACTTTGCCATGACCTTCCCGTCTTGGGTGTCCCTTCACGGTTTTGCTCGTGGCATCATTGAGGTGCTCAAGCTTCAGCACCTCCAACAAGGTAACAATCCTTTGCAGGAGCATTCATTTGTAGCATTCATACCAGCCCTGTTTTCCAGTTCAAGATGCCAAAATATTATTATAAGCTGGTATTCAGAAAATTCCACATTGAGAGTGCAGTTATTCTTACGAATCTACTCTGAATCAGTGAAGGTCTTGTTCAGGAAGCATGCAACCCCTTCCTCCAGTCTTGGTCGGAAAAAAGGAGGGAGAAAAGTCCAGGTTGTTTTGCTTTCCTGGTGCTTTACAGTATTGTGTAGCATCAGCAAGTGGGACTGCCTGCAGCTTTAGATCCTCTAGCTTTTGAGGACAATAAGCTTCCCTCCTTGCTGGGAATGGAATGCAACAGAAATAACATAGAGCATAGTTTATTATTTGTGCAAAGAGGATTTTTTTCTGGGAAACTATCTAGTCTTACTGAGCAATGCTATTGCTTGTGTTTGTCTCTAAATATTTGTTCACCTGAAATAAGATTTGGATGGAAAGCAGGGAGAAAAGAGCCAGACTTTGATTTTGCAAAAGACTGGGAAGTGTGTTTTAAATGCGGTTACAATGCACTTTAACCTTAAAGACAAGCTGTTATCTATGTTGCATCCTGCTGTGTTTGTTTCTTTCTGCTTTTTCATTTAGACGACTATTGTACCCATACCCAGCATTGGTGGCCATCAAGATGGCTGACTAACAAAAGAAAAGAAATCTTAAAATGATATGCCTATATTGAGAGTGGAGGGAAGTGTTATAGAATGGCCATAAGGATGAATCAGGTATCTTTCCATTTGAATCTAAGTCGAGAACTTATTTGATTTATCTTATGTGAGATCAGGGTAGTGATATCTGTCATGGCTGGAATTTTGTATCACTATTATGAATACATAATCTAGAGCAGTAGATACCAACCTTTTTTTGACCAGGGACCACCCTCCAACATTAATTAATAATAATAACAACAACAACAACAACAACTTTATTTATAGACCGCTCTCTCTCCCCAAGGGGACTCAGGTCAGTTTACACACAAAGAAGGCAAACATTCATTAGTATCAAAAGGATTATGAATCGGTTTTTGGTCAATTTTAGATTCGATTTGGTTATTTGGGGTGCTGATTCAGAAAACTGCGTTGGATAGACCACATCAGCTCTAGTTTCTGATACAGAACATATGCTATCCAGTTGTCGCCATCTGCTTGCCCACAGAAAATCATATTTAATCATCTCAGACCACTGTTCTTATTTTAGATCTTATGGCCCACAAGTTGGGAACCACTGATGTAGTTATGATTCTTATATATTCATTGCCGCTGTTTAGGGAGTATGTATGGATCATGAAAACCCTGATTCTCCACTTAACAGCAAGCAACCATTGGAATTGACTGGGGTCCATTCCTTGTCACTTGAGAAGCAGCTTGCTGCCATTCCTGCCCAGCTCCTCTGTCCCATAGAAGGTCGCCAACCCCAAAGCTTGTGAGCACAGATCAAGGAAGTCATTTAAAAGATTACTTAAAAACATTTATTGACAAATATTACATTGTACCATTCTTCGAGGTTACACAGGTGTGTGGTATACCCAAGTGCAAAAAAGCAAAACAGAAGCAACAAACCAACACTTAGGCGTGTTTGAGACAAGGCTCTAATCCAAACTATATGTGGGAAACAACTTCAAGATGCAGAAGCTGGGCCTCTGCTCCAACTCAGGCCTGCAGAAGTTTTTCTTTCTTTAACAGGCTCCTGTGGAAACAAACAAAACAAGAACACATCAGTTGTTGTGATATCATCATTGGGAGGCAGGTAGACTTTTTTGCATTCTTTATTTTTCAAGGGTTCAATAGAAGTTATTATTCATATTGCTGGAAGTTGGCCATTCAATGAAATTAACCAGTTGCTGGTTTCCAACAAGAAATGAATGCAAAGCACACGTGATACGTGTAATTGATTCCTACAAGAGGTGGTGACCTTTAGCTTAGACAGCATTTAAAGGTTTACATGCATTTACAGGGAGAGGCTAAGCTATCAGCTATATAAGCTAAATGTCGTCTCCACATTCAGGGTCAACATGCCCTTAAGCACTAAAAGGTGAGGGCAAGTGTCAGATCATAGCTATCTTCATCAGGATCCCTTCCTGATCTTCCAAGGCAAGGATATGTCTACTTGTTATTCAAAGGAGGGAGAGCTAGATGAGAATGTCCTTTAATCTCGCCTTGTGTAAAAGAGTTCTTATGTTGGCCATGCCAACTTGTGCATTCTGGGAGTTGCAGTCCAAAATATTAACTTTTCCATACTTATCGGAACATGTATGTAGGCCACATATTATAGTTAACTTTAACCATTGCAACTGAGTTGTTTATTGTTTTCAGTTATCAATGTTTAAGGCTCAGAAATCACCTTCAAGAGGTTTATCCCATTTAGTTCCATTACAACATTTAGTAAACAAAGCCCAAGGCTGCCAGACTAGATTCATTTGTCAGCTCTGTATGAATCTTAGAATATCCTATATTAGATATTTAAAATAGTAGTATCACTATTTTATAGATATGAGGGGGTTTTCTTTTTGTGTCAGGAGCGACTTGAGAAATTGCAAGTTGCTTCTGGTGTGAGAAAGAGCATGCTTAACCCTCCTAACCTTGCAAGCAAGTTCGGTAGATGGAAAATTCCCACATGATGGAGCTATACAAAGTGAGGAAACTGGACAGAAAGGAGATTATAGCAATGTATTGTCGAAGGTTTTTCATGGTCAGAATCACTGGGTTGCTGTGAGTTTTCTGGGCTATATGGTCATGTTCCAGAAGCATTCTCTCCTCAGAGATTGTAACGTCTGTTGGAAACTAGGCAAGTGAGGTTTATATATCTGGAATATCCAGGGTGGGAGAATAACTCTTGTCTGCTGACACCTCTCAACAAAGAATTCTCCCAGGAAGCAATCAGCCAGGCTTTGAAGCTACAAGACCATTAAAGGCTAATCAAGGTGGCCAATTGCAACATTCACACTTGCCTCAAGCAGACAAGAGTTCTTTCTCCCATCCTGGACATTCCACAGATATATAAACCTCACTTGCGTAGTTTCCAACAGATCTCACGACATCTGAGGATGCCTGCCATAGATGTGGGCGAAACATCAGGAGAGATTGCTTCTGGAACATGGCCATACAGCCCAGAAAAGTTACAGCATCACAAAGATTAGCAATTCCCTGTTGTTTCTCTTCTCTTAATTGTCTTCTCCAGAAAAGCTTGAAGATATCATTTTTAAAAAAGGGAAGGGATTTCCATGGGTATGACTTGCAATACTGCATCATTAGCACCACCAGATTTCTGCAGCTATGGGCAACCAGGTATGTTATACTAGAAGGAGTTCTTTGCATTGCAGTGCACTTTTACATCAGAATGGAGGTATTAAGTTTGCACAATCCACATAGCTGAGAAACTCTTGCCTTTAATCTCTCTGGCAAAGATGTGCATATAATATTTAGATTGTTGCCTCTTAACTTCAATGGGAAGACAAATACGTAAATTCCCTATATCTAAATTCAGCTACTTCATGGGCTGCAAAATGGTGTTAATACTAAATCTGCAGGCATTGCCATGGCTGTGCTAAATCACATATATTTCTGAGAAATCTAGTAACTACATTTTGAGCGTAAATCTTGTTGGCGTCTTTTAATAAAGCAGCACCTAACACTCATTTTTACATCTAAATCAACTGGGGTGAAAATCCCTTAAATGGATCGCCTTTGTAATATACATTAATGCAATTTCATTTTAGTCACCATTTTCATCTTTCGGGTGAAAGCCCTTCAGACACAGAAACAAGCTGGGAAAAGCTTGGAAGATCAGTAACCTAAGCTGGATAAGTCTGAGACCTGCCTTGACATTGTTTTGGAAATGCAGTCCCACCCTTGTATCCATCCATGGGGGACACATTTAAGACTTTGTGTGGGTCCATAAAACAATGGATAATAGTGATTCAAGAACACCATAAGGTCACACTGGAGAACCTAGGAAGTACATAGAGATCTATTTTTTCTCACATGGATAAATTAAACCATAGGTATCAGTCCTATTGATAGTATTGTACTGTGGTTGCAAAGATTAGGCTGAATGCTACCACCCTTGTTATAGCCCAGAGACCCATGGAGTGCCCACTACTCTCCCAACACAACTGCATGTATTTCCCTCTCCATGGTCCACACCTTCCAAGGAGGCTGGTGCAAAGTGAGAAGAGGAAGAAAGGAAAGAACTGGCAAATGCCAATGGGTTGACCAGCTGGACCATCAAGAGATCTTCCATGAAGGTTTCACAGTTCTGAAGCTTAGTCTTCCATATGCATATTTTTGAAGCCAACATGACTTCCTCCTATCTGATTTACCTTCAGGTTTCTCTTCATGTAAATAAATAGGAAAAATAGATGAAAGTGTAGTTCAGAGGAGAGGGTTTGGTCCTTCAGATGTATCAGACTTCAACTTCCATCAGTCCCTCCCAGTGCGGCCTGTGGCCAGGGATTGTGGAAGGTGTAGACCAAGATATCTGATTCTATGAGATCCCAAACAAGTAGAACAAGAAACTGATAGGAGAGGATACTCTCCTTACGGGAAAAAGCAACTCAAACATTGGTAGGCCTCACAACCTCTAAGGATGCCTGCCATAGATGCAGGCGAAAGGTCAGGAGACAATGGTTCTAGAACATGGCCATATAGCCCGAAAAGCCCATAACAAGCAATGATTCTGGCCATTAAAGCCTTTGACAATACATTGAACATTGGTATGCCTTACCTTCTGGATCATATCAAAAGGAGTCACTTGTATATGACAACATCTGTGTGAGGCTCTGTAAGTAAGCTCACTTTGTACCAACTTTGATAGTTAAGACATTTCTATCACAGATGTATTATTGCTTTACATAAAGCTACCTCAGTTGCTCACCATTTGAGGGGACGGGGGAGCAAAACAAGCATTTCTGCATACCTGACTGTAGCACAGGCTGGAACTGGCCAGACATGCAGATTTCCTCCTGCTTCTGGCGCACAACGCGCTGAATGGCTGGGGCCAGACCACGAGGATTGCGGGAGAAAACCAGGGAATAGCCATCATCGCAGGATCCGTCCTCCTTCAGGCTGCGGCAAGCATAGGTAATGGCATAGTTGTCATAGTCTGTGTCAATCACCCAGTAGTTGTCACCTGGAATGATACAAAAGACCCAAAGTCAAGTGAAGGGTTCTGATTTTTCAAATGGTTGCATGAGACCATTGGAAAATCACAAGAGTGCTGAATATCCAAGGCTGTCTGAACATCAGTTTTATATAAGGCAGTATTCCCCAACCATTGGTCCTTCAGGTGTTTTGGACTTCAGCTCCCACAACTCCTAACAGCTGGTAAAATAGCTGGGATTTCTGGGCGTTGAAGTCCAAAACACCTGGAGGACCAAAGGTTGGGAACCAATGGTACAAGGGAATACAGTCACTTGTCACAAGTTTTTTTAATAAACGCACAGTTCTTTGTTAGAGCCTAGCAGGGAAAGAAAGTTGGAGGGGCTTGAAATCAACGTAAGGAAGAGCAGGCAACCAAGCAGTTATCTCAGTTGGTTTATGGGCCATTCTCACTCATTCCCTTCCTGTAAATCTCTCCCTCTCTCTATCCCTCAGATAATCTTTCTTTAATGGTTGGGTGCTGGTGGGACATGAAAAATTCTCTACCTAGGTCAGGAGATGAGCAGAATGATATCACTAAACCAAAATCTCTTCCTTCCCTGTGAGCAAGAAAGCTCCAATCCCATGGCTGTCACAAGATATTTCATTATTTCCCTCCAGCAACCCCCTCTTCTGTTAGTAAAGGTAAAGGTTTCCCCTTGACATGAAGTCTAGTTGTGTCTGACTCTGTGGGGTGGTGTTCATCTCCATTTCTAAGCCAAAGAGCCAGCGTTGTCCATAGATGCCTCCTAGATCATGTGGCCTACATGACTGCATGGAGCGCTGTTAACCTTCCTGCTGAAGAGGTGCCATCTCATTACATTTGCATGTTTTTGAACTGCTAGGGTGGCAAAAGCTGGGGCTGACAGCAGGAGCTCACCCTGTCCCACGGATTTGAACCGCCAACCTTCCAGTCAGCAAGTTTTGCAGCTTAGTGGTTTAACCTGCTGTGTCACCATGGAACTTCTCTTCAGTATTAAGGTATATGATATTCATGGCTAGTCAAGTTTCTTGGCAACTGGTGCAGATGATCCCACATATAGTACAAAACCAAATTCACAATTTACATGACGTAACAATTTTCCACCTTTTCTGACATCTTAAGTCACCTGATTTCTTTGCTTGAGGAGGGCCACTCATACTTTCCCCAGTTTAATCTGGATTTTCTGACTAGATGTTATCCACTGAAGGGCTTTTTAAAGTTATGATGCCCAAGATTTGCAACAGCTTGCAAAAGGGGTCTGTTAGGTTCATTGCAGAGTTCAGTTCTCAATTTACGAGTTGTTACTGTCTTTAGAATTTTAATTTTTGATTTCTGATTATGCTTTTATCAATTCTCATTTGAGGGTTGTGGTGATGGATTTTCATTCTTAGAGTAGGACACCTTGACTGTTTTATAGAAAGGCTAAATGTTAATATAAAGAACACATCAGGCAGTGAAGAAAGGAGCCATCTGAACAGCCTCAAACCCCACTCTGACAATGCTGGACAGAGCTCTCCCCCCATATAAGCACCTTGTTTGGGGGTTTATTGGACCTTAATCCAGAAAGACACAACTTTTGACATTTCAGTTTTAAGAGTACGTACCATGCACTCATTTTTTCCACATTCTCAGCCAGGGGCAAGAAAGGAACTTTTGCTCACCTCCACTTGACAAATAGCTTGCCAGGCCTTGGTAATTCATGAACATTTTTGCTGGGGTGGTAGGGTCGGGCACTGAATATTGAGCTGCCATGTCAGCACAGATAACCCAGAATCTGAAAGAGGAAGAGAATAAGATGAACTTCAGTGTACAGGCAGCACACTACTATTTATTCTAGGTAAGATGGTAGGATTCAGACACCTTATTCCAGTTTCAACATTATTTGCTGAACATAAAAAAACCTTCTATGAAGCTAACTCTTTAATGCACTCTCCTGATCCAACCTAACCTCCAGTCTGCTTTGCTCTCATCTACAGAAAGATCCAGTACACAGGGAAAGAGACTGAAAATTGCCCTGCTTTCATTTGCTTATTGGAGCCTTGAATAATTTTGCCAGAATAAGGCAATGGAACAAAGGAGTAGCTTTAAAGGAAATGGTCAAGGCCCTTACCCTTAAAAAGAGCAGGAGGATCTGCCAAATGCAGCACAATTAGTTCTTCACATTTTTAAATATTTGAAAAATACATAACATGAACATTGAAAGAGGTAGGGACAAATGAGATAACTGTCCAATGCAGGAGTGGGCAGTCTTCAGGGTTGTTTCTCTGGCTCCAAAGGCCCCTCAAGGGTTAACAAAAATGTCCTAAACGTGCTTTTTGTGGGTGTGGGATATTCTTTTGGGAGGATCCTTTGACCATTTTTAATGACCAGAGGAGCTAAAATATGCTTAAATTTGGGAGCATTTTAGGGCAAATACACACATCACACACACACACCAGACAAACATTAAATATTAGAGAGAGAGGGCGTGCAGAGGGTGCACTGAGGAAGATGCAGCTCTCCAAGGTCTCCTTGTGGGCTAGCAGCATGACCTCCTGGCCTCTCACAATTGCCCATCCCTGATCTGAGGGTGCCTTTTCAGTGGTTCCCAACCTGTGGGTCCCCAGATGTTTTGGCCTTCAACTCCTAGAAATCCTAACAGCTGGTAAACTAGCTGGGATTTCTGGGAGTTGTAGGCCAAAACACCTGGGGACCCACAAGTGGAGAACCACTGCAAGGTTCTCCAGTGGAGATTCTATGGCCAACTTCAATTAGAAGATGCCCATGGAGTCATGCTGAAGGATCGAAGCGATTCCTAGAGAAATGCTCTCTCAGGTCAAAAATTAACTGTTTCCCCACTTTTGTGCTAGTTTCTGAATTCCTAAACTTGCTGAATTTAGAGGGCTAAGTATACAAGCAAAGCTTCCTGCTGTCATTCTGAGTGCAGAAAATTTTGCCCCCCCCCCCCTTGTATCTTCTAATCCAGCAATAACCAAAAATGGGATAGTCATACAATGTCATATAACGATGCAATCCAATGTAATATCATAGCGATAACCCAATAATGCATGTGAAAAACTAGTTGTTTACTTCTAGAGGTTTTCTATCTTACCCAAAAAGTTTCACTCTGCCCTTAGAAGATGCAATCATAGTGCCATCCTCTTCAATGGTGTATTCAGCTGAGATGTTATCCTGTAGAAACAGGCCTTCGGGGTCTTTCTTGGACAAGGCATACCATTTACCAGCATACTGAAAGGTAAAGAACACCTAAAGGTTACTGGGAAGGACAGAAAGTACATGTAAATCTTTCAGTTACTTGAAAGAAGGCTAAGCCAGCAGACTGCTTATGTGTCATTTCAGGTAAATCCAAAGCTTTAAAACAATTAAGCACTGGTTCAGATGAAGAGCCGAATAGTAACATCTCCTGGAATCCTTCCAAGCAAACCACGATTTCAAAGTGGAGAGCTGGTTCCATCGCACCATCAGGTAATCAGTCATTTCCTAGAGCACCCTCTCTATACTTTCCTTTCACAAATTGTTCTCACATTTTTGTTGTAAACCTATTATTCTCAATAAAAACAATTTGAAAAAAAATCATTTCCTAGAGCACACCACTTGGAGAGAACCAGTGTGGCAGTAGTTTGAGCGTTGGCTACAATTCTTGAGATCAGAGTTTGAATTCCTACTCTACTATGGAAACCCATTAGTCCTACACTGGGCAAGACCCTCAGTCTCAGAAGAGGGAAAACCCAAAGCCCATTCTGAACTAATGCTGAGAGAAAAAAATAGATCTGCCTTAAAGTCACCATAAATCAGAAACAACTTCAAAACACACAACAACAATCACTTGGAGATTTCCAATGATATTGCTCCCAAAATACAAGATGAGAACTCATGAGCTTCAGTTACTGAAACACACATACCAGATAAACATTAGATAATAAGTATTGACCATATGAGCAACTCAATGGGATGAGTTAAGTGGGGTTCCCACACTCCAGTCCCAGAGATCTTAAAGTAGAGACTAAAGGCCCATCTGTTGTAGGTGCTTCAGTTCTTCATTCCCTGAAATCAGTGGATCAATGATCTCTACAAAGTCAGCTGTATAGCTATGTGGTTTTATGATCGCTGGGTCTACTTGTGCAATCATTTTCTTCACATGTTGCCAGTAGTGATAAGAAACCATCCTGATCAGAGCAGCTCCTCTTCTCACACATCCAACACAGATGTAGCCTATCCAAGAAACATGCCAAGAGGAAGGCACGTCAAGCCAATCCTGGTCAGGACTGCCTTCCACCTGGAAACTGATGCCCTCACTGTGGAAGAACATGCAGATCAAGAATAGGACTCCATAGTCACCTACATATTCACCTCCAAGACACTAGACTTGGAAGACCATCATACTCGGACAACGAGGGATCACCTTAGTAAGTTAGCCTATCCAACCTGTGTTGTGTAGGAATTGGAGAAAGCTAAGCTAGGAGTTTGGAGATTCAGACTGAAGAGTGCAATGAACCACGAAACCTGCTGGGTGATCTTGGGCCACTTATTGTCTCTCAACCTAGCTGACCTCACAAAACTCCAATGAGGACAAAGTGAATTGGGAGAGAGGAAAGACTTAAGCTCACTGGAAGAAAAACAGAAGACAGAAGTACGGTAACTAATAAACATATAGATGGATTAGGCTGGGTTGCCATTTGTTTACTAGAAAGAAGCATAAGTTTGGAAGTAAAGAGATAGACTGCGAAACACTGCGGCGACAAATTTAAAAGCAAGTTTGAAGAACCAAATAGTGCTCTTGTTCATATTCATGCAAGATAAACAAGTTGAAAGGTATGCAGTGCTTGTCTCAAAGCTCTCTTGTAACTACTGCATTCCTTGACGCATGCATTCATTCATTCAAATCATTCATTCTTTCCATGTATATTCTGCTTTTCTCCCAATCTGGAACACACCCAAGTATGCCCACCATTGTCCTTTACAACAACAACAACAACAACAACAACATAATAATAATAATAATAATAATAATAAAAATAAAAATAAAAATAAATTTATACCCCGCCACCATCTTCCCAAGGGACTTGGAGTGGCTTACATGAGGCCAAGCCCAACAACACAACAATAATAAAAAAAAAAAGCAATAAACAAAACAATAAATACAATACAATTAATATAAATCACATATAAACAATAAACAATAACACACAAGGATTTAATATAAAAGATGCATAGTTACCCTCTTGGGATCAAAGTCCTCCTTCACAGAAAAAGATTCAACTGTACAAGAGGTCTGAGCAGAAGAGTAATCAAAAATGGAGATCAGGGTCATCAGGAAGGTATACTGCGTGTATTTCATTCTGTGAAGTGACAAAGTAGTTCAGCATGAGTGAAAATCCCATTTGCTTATTCAGGTTGTCCTGCAAATATGAAATATCTCAATGCAAATACACTGCAAATATGAAATATCTAAAAATCCCTACTGTTGGTCCTTTGTGGTCTCCTCTCAAATACACTTTTTCTACTCCTACCTCATCCAGGATTTTATCATTTTATCTTGTGCATTTGGCCCGCCCACTGTGTTTGATTTTCCAGTATGTTATTTTGCTTTATTTATTTTATTTTACTACTGTATGTATTTTATTCTGATGTAATTTCTGTTGTTTTGTATTTTATTTTGCTGTATTGTATCTACGGGCTTGGCCTCATGTTAGCCACCCCGAGTCCCCTCTGGGGAGATGGTGGCAGGGTATAAATAAAGATTATTATTATTATTATTATTATTATTATTATTATTATTATTATTATTATTATCTGATGTTCTGTTTGTAATGTTACCACAGATAGACATCTAAATCTTAGCAAACACATCTAAGAAACTTCCAGTATTCTTGCTATCTGTGGTTTCTACACAACCTCCGTAGAGTCCCTCTACGGAGGTTGAGAAGATTGGGATATAAAAGTTTTAAATAATAAATAAATACAGGTCAGGCCGCCCAAACCCCAAGATGTTTTCTTACCTGAGGTGTGGCAATGATGTGTACCCTTCCTGCCATCTACCTAAATCAAGGGTTTTTTGTGTGTCAGGAGCGACTTGAGAAACTGCAAGTCGCTTCTGGTGTGAGAGAATTGGCCTGTATGTTTTACCATCCTGTGGGAGGCTGCTCTCATGGCCCTGCATGAGAAGCTGGAGCTGACAGACAGGAGCTCACCCCACTCCCCAGATTCAAACCGCCAACCCATTGCACCACTGGGGGCTCCTATCAAGGTGCATGGTGTCTAAAACCAGGGTGTCCACTATGAATGTACTATTTCATATTTATGGGTATATTAGTTAGACATTGTAATTGCCATAAATTGCCCTAGAACATAGTACTTGTTGACTTGTTTGCCTGCTCAGTTCACAGTCCAAGCATGATTGATAGGAAACTTCCACAGTTTTCTGTGACTTTCCTGTCTTCTGGCCTTTTTAATCTTTAAGCTGGACTTGGACTGAATGCCATTCAAACAGAGGGTGCATTCTTCAAATAGAGGGCTGTCTTCTGCAAAGTAGGACTCCAAGACATCTGAGTCTGAAGTCCAAGGGTCTATTTACTCCCCCATCACTATCCAAAAAGTGGCAGGTGATGCGTGAAAAGCCAGACAGACCCTGTGTCAGTACCTGGGCTGATGCTGGTCATAATAACATCCTTTTGATTAGTTCTAGTTTTTGAGATACAGAACATATACACAATATACCAATCTTCATCTGCTCTCCCAAAGAAAACCATGATAACCATATCTAAGAAAGTAGAGTTGATGAGGTCTATCCAATGCAAAGGTCTGAATCAGTGCCTTAAATAACCCCAAAAACAGGCCTAAAAACCAAGACACTGATTCTTTTTTTTGTTGGGCTCACAGCAACCCAGGTATTCCGGCCATGAAAGCCTTCGGTTGAAAGGAGATATTGACGAGCTGGAATGTGTCCAGAGGAGGGAGACTAAAATGATCAAGGGTCTGGAGAACAAACCCTATGAGGAGCAGCTTAAAGAGATGGGCATGTTTAGCCTGAAGAAGAGAAGGCTGAGAGGAGATATGATAGCCATGTATAAATATGTGAGAGGAAGCCACAGGGAGGAGGGAGCAAGCTTGTTTTCTGCCCTGGAGACTAGGACGCGGAACAATGGCTTCAAACTACAAGAAAGGAGATTCCACCTGAACATTAGGAAGAACTTCCTGTCTGTGAGATCTGTTCAGCAGTGGAACTCTCTGCCCTGGAGTGTGGCGGAGGCTCCTTTGGAGGCTTTTAAACAGAGGCTGGTTAGCCATCTGTCAGGGGTGCTTTGAATGCAATTTTCCTGCTTTTTGGCAGGGAATTGGACTGAATGGCCCATGAGGTCTCTTCCAACTCTATGATTCTATGAATGACACATCTCTCACATTGTCTCTGCCTATATTGAATATTCTGTATAAAATGATGATGTTGCAGGGAATGCTGACTGTTGGCATCGGGATTTCTCCACTTCTTGTGATGGGATGTGCATTTCCATTTGTTCTTCTAGACTCGTAGCAGTGTCTATGATGAAACAGGGCAATTTGCCTGTAGTAAGTATATATCAACCTGTGTTTGGTTCATACTTAGCAATCTCCTTTTCCTGTAAGGTCACCAGAAAGGATATCCACCACATGGTATCAAGCCAGAGTATTAGTGGGGGTAGAGGGTTAAGCCAATCAGAAGTAAACAGATTTCCATAATCCAAATCCAAACCCTAAACAAATGAGCATTGGTTTGTGCGTAAAATGTGATATCCCTTGGAATCCTTCCAATGATTTCAGGTGGTACAACTGCAAGGGAGCTTTTGCTATCAGTAGGGTCAAGAGGTGAAGTTTTCTTGGTCATTGATTCTTCTGGCCATGGCTGACAAAACTAGAAGGCCATCACTGGCAGGGCCAATCCAGCTACTCTACCAGATGCTGCAATCTCCTCAGCCATTTCATCTCAATCCTTCAAATTTTCTCCTCTCTTTAGAGCAGTGGTTCTCAACCTGTGGGTCCCCAGATGTTTTGGCCTTCAACTCCCAGAAATCCTAACAACTGGTAAACTGGCTGGGATTTCTGGGAGTTGTAGGTCAAAACACCTGGGGACCCACAGGTTGAGAACCACTGCTTTAGCGGAAGCCAAGTAGGAGCTATGTAGGCCATAAGGTTTTCCTGCATCCTCTAAGCTACCCCACTACCCTTGACTAGGTAAGGGGACTCTGATTTGTTAGCAGAGTGGAAATGTACAAGTTGAAACCCAATCTCATTGACTTCTGTACTCCTAGAAATCCCAGCTAGTTTACCAGCTGTTAGGATTTCTGGGAGTTGAAGGCCAAAACATCTGGGGATCCACAGGTTGAGAACCACTGCTCTAAAGAGAGGAGAAAATCTGAAGGATTGAAGTGAAATGGATGAGGGGGTTGAAGCATCTGGTAGAGTAGCTGTCATACTCCACCAAATGACTGGATTGGCCCTACCAGTGATGACCTTCTAGTTCTGTCAACCATGGCCAGAAGAAGCAAGGTCCAAGAAATTGACCTGTATATGCAATGGACCAGTGTTGCCAGCTTGCCGTTTACCTGAGACATCAAAATATCCTGGACGAGCCCTGATCATTGGCCCCTCCAAGTAATTGCCACTATTTAGATGCCACCATTAGCAATGTGGGAATAAGGATGCTGCAGTGACTTGCACACCCCTACAAACACTCGACATGAATCAGGTTTGCTCTATCTGACCTATGTGAAATTGTTAAATACAGATAGAACAGACCCACAGAATCGATGGAATGTACAATGACTCAATGTTATGGAACCCGGGCCGTTGTGGTTTTACAAGGTCTTGAACCTTCTCTGCTTTGGTGTCTCACCAAATTAGAAATCTCAGGATCTCATGGCAGATCAGGGGGTATCAAACTGCAATTCTTATACGGATTATTGAGATGAATATTTTTACACTAGGTACTAAAAATAGTAAAGGCCACATCTCACCCTGGTTGGGGAAAAAGTAGAGATCAGTGAACTACTATTTTGTTCTAATGTAATGTTGGGGCAATAGTTGACCAACTATCAGTTTTGTTGGGCAGCAACTGAAGCTACCTGTCACTGTTGATGATATTAGGAGTGATGGGAGTTCCAATGTTGGTACCTCATCAGACTACAAATCCCAGAATTCTATAGCATCGAGCCATATCCGTTAAAATGGTGTCAAACTGCAATAATTCTGCTGTATAGATGCACCCCCTTTTGAAAGCAACGTATTACAACAACAAACACCTTTACATTGCGTTCCCATCTGCTGATCCATTCTCATTTTTTTAATTTATAAGAATTGATTGAGAATGTTGTAAAAGATGTGTTTTTCCTCTCTTGCTAAATTATTCAGGCATCTAAATGGACAGAAATGTAAAACATCTCAATAAACCAGGAATAAAGCTACATGGATTGGCATTCTCTATCGCTATTGGAAGACCTACCTGATGGTTTGTTGAAATGCTCTGGGATTTATTCCTGGTGATGTGTTCTTCTTGCTCTGGTGAAGTCAGATAGTGAATGACTCTCGACTAGCCACCTTTAAATAAGATATCTGGAACGGCCTTAATTGGCTATTTGTCTCCTGGACCTGAGTAAGATGCTTAACTTTGGATAATCCATTATGTAAAAACCATCACCAGTAATCCTCACACCGGATTGTCAATTGGCTGTTACCAAACAGACACAGCTTTTACATAAGCAAAGAAATCATCTCAAACCAATGCAACAAGGATGAATGAAGCACCTTTGCCATGGAGCACGTGGCCAACTAAATTAGAAATGCACCCTAGGATGTTTAACATTAAAATCATACAAAAAAGGAAATGCCATCCCAAGAAGCTCAAAATACTATATATGAGTTTCTAGATGATTTTCTGGCCAAGACCAGACTTGCTTGCTTTTAAGCAATAAATTAGGAGCCCTTGGTGGTGCTGACAGAAAGGTCGGTGGTTCAAATCTGGGGAGTGGGGTGAGCTCCCATCTGTCAGCTCCAGCTTCTCATGGGTTAAACCCTTGTGCCAGCAATACTGCTGACCAAAAGGTTAGCAGTTCAAATCTGGGGAGTGGGGTAAGCTCCCATCTGTCAGCCTCAGCTTCTCGTGGGTTAAATCCTTGTGCCGGCAGTACTGCTGACTGAAAGTTCAGAGGGTTCGAATCCGAAAAGTAGGGTGAGCTCCTGTCTGTCAGCTCCAGTTTCTCATGCAGGAACATGAGATAAGCCTCCCATAGGATGGTAAAGCATCCGGGTGTCCCCTGCGCAACGTCCTTGCAGACAGCCAATTCTCTCACACAAGAAGCAACTTGCAGCCGCTCCTAACATGAAAAAAGCAAGAAATTGAGTAATTTATCTTCAAACCATTATTTATGTCTCATTGCCCTGAACAACAAAGATTTTCAACCATATGGCTTTTGCTGTTATATACACACCTTCACTTAGTTAATAGATCATGCAATTAGGAATTTTCATGAGGCAACTAAGACAGTTTTAAACGGTTTTAAATGGTGTATTTTAATATTTTGATAAATGTTTTTTTAATGTTTATGTATGTGTATGTGAATTTGTGTCCCGGCATTGAATGTTTTCTGTGTATATGCTGTGCTCCGCCCTGAGTCCCCTTCGGGGTGAGAAGGGCGGAATACAAATGTTTTAAATAAATAAATAAACAGCAGAACTGATCAAAGCAAGCCAGATCACCGAACAGAAACAAATGAATCATTGCACAGGAGATGCCTGGGACATCACAAAATGCACCAATAAGATAAAACTATATAAAAAATAGAAGCCATCTAAAGATAATTGACCCGACGGCTGGATGATGCTCAGATGGCTGAAGCATATAAAAGTTGTGGTGGAAAATCTCAGTCTCTCAGACACGAATCACAATATAAGGGTGCATCTACATTGTAGAATTAATGCAGTTTAACGCCACTTTAACTGCTATGGCTCTGTGATATGAAATAATGTGATCTGTAGTTTTGCAAGGTCTTTAGCTGGTGCCTCACCAAAGTACAACTCCTAGGATGTCATAGCATTGAGCCACGGCAGTGAATGTAGTATCAGACTGCATAAATTCTACAATGTGGATGCATCCTGAGAGTGATCCTGTCCCCTTTACCACCCTTTATTAATAAGGGTAGGTAAATATGAATAAGTGAAGGGATGTAAACTTATCAGTGTATCCTAATAATTTGAATCGTATGGTTTGTGTTTGTTGTTCTTTGCAGTTTTACAGCTTATGCAAAGGATAGGAAAACAAATCTACCTGAACTGCAATGCTTTTGTGATGATTTGGGCATTTTCAGTAACTTTTGAGTTGTATTGGCATAAAATCTGGCTTGAGGGGATCTATACTTCTCTGGGATGTAGGGTTCAGGGGATCACACTTTCCTCATGGCAGCTCTAGCAATGGAACAGACCATGATAGCTCTGCTATAATATAATAATATAATAATATAATATAATATAATATAATATAATATAATATAATATAATATAATATAATATAATATAATATAATATAATATAATATAATATAATGATAGCCTATAACTAACATGTCTTCACCAAGTTCCCAGCTGCCATCATTGAGGACACAGGAAGGAGACAGATCAACAGTTCTTTCCTGCAGTTAGGCCCATCTCTATCTAATGTCACAGCTTTCTCCAAATACATCTGGAAATTGTAGTTCAGTCATGAGGAGGGAGATTTCATAAAAATATCCATCTCATAACAGCAGTCACCAAAGTTCTCCAAGAAAAGGAAGTCCATCAGGCAGATATGTCCTATAGACTATTGTGGCTTCTCTCACCATCTTGACCCTTTAAGACAGAGGAACATTGTTCGGTATTTGTCCCTTTCCTTTTGTGATTGGGAGGAAGATAAATGGCCTTTGAAGAACACGTTGCAGGTTTCAAAGGAAACCAAATGTCTGTCCGTCTCAGAAGATTAACCCATGACCCACTAGTAAAGAGTAATTAAAAGATCATGAACTGTTCCAGACTTTGGAGATCAGCAGTACCTCAGGATGGCAAGACTGAATGGCTGAAGATAAGCTTAGATCAAGAACAAATTATTATTAGATAAGGCATGGTTACACTCAGGAACAACTACTTACAGGTCTGAATGGTTCTGGCCTTCTCAGCATTTCTTAAGAGACAGTATTTGGATTTTTATGTTTTTCATGAGAATATACTATAAAAATTAGTCTCTATAAAGCTTCACAGTACTCTCCCATTATCCAGACAGAGGTATGGGGTTGGGGTGGGGGGGTTGGGGGGAGTTGAAGGAGAAAAAACATTTCCCCCATTATCACTGATGATTCCCCCTCCCCCCTTCCCATATCATACACTAGGGTTGTTTTCACAATGGGGAAATAAAGGGGGGGGGGGGGGGGGATAACAGGAAAAGGGGGAAAATGGTTTTACTACTTCAACCCAACCTCCATCCCCATAAAATGGACTATCCTTCACTCTCTAGTCCCCCCTTGTGGCCTCCACCTGGATAATAAAACAGTACCAGTTTCAGTATTGCTCTCAATACCAATTATTAGGGAACATTAGTGAAAAGATGGTCACTTGTGGGCTTCTTAAAGCATCTTGTTGGCTACCGTGGAGGAACAAGGGACTAGAGAGGACTTTGATCTGATCAGACATGGATGTACAATACTTATAGACATACAGTTTGTTTACAACAAGGACCATACTACACAAGAGTTGAAAAGGGAACAATCTTGGGTTCAACAACTGATTCTTCCCTACAAAGACTGGGACATGTGCCAAATTGTCCCTAAGGAGGTAAACTTGGACTATTTCAGCTGCAACTGGAGGCTCACCAGGAGTAGTCCCTTTTGCTTTTGAGGCATACTGGAAGATAAGTTTTTCTCTCTTCCTCACCCATATAATACCCAAACTTGTTTTGGCAGAGAAAACATTTCTAGTATCTTTCCTTCTACAGACTTCTGTATTTTCTAGTCTATTTTAATTCTAGTCTACCAACCAACTTATTCCTTTCCTTTGTCATATTTTGGGGTGATTGTAGTATTACCAAGTACCAATTGCAACTACCAACCTCTTTCTTTGCTTTCCTTTCCCATATTAAAAATCTATCATTGGTTCAAAAGTATAATTCAATTCTACAAAGTGCAGTAGTTTTGCAGTTTTTTAAAAATGGGATGAAACTTTAAAATCTTCTAAAAATCATTAGATGTGCAGATTTTTCTGAAACTTGGAGGGACTGTTGCCCTGGGTATGTTGTGTCATTGTAGAGAAATTTGAAGGGGTAGGTTGTTGTAGTTTTTTCGGGCTATATGGCCATGGTCTAGAGGCATTCTCTCCTGACGTTTCGCCTGCATCTATGGCAAGCATCCTCAGAGGTAGTGAGGTCTGTTGGAGGTCTGTTTCCAACAGACCTCACTACCTCTGAGGATGCTTGCCATAGATGCAGGCGAAATATGAGGAGAGAATGCCAGTGATTCTGGCCATGAAAGCCTTCGACAATACTTTGAAGGGGTACTTCTTGTAGTTTTTTTAATTAAAAGTTGTTTATAAAAATCAGTGAATGAGGAAAGCTTTTTGAGTCTTGGGAGTTTTACAATGGTAAATGTGTGCTACACTTGTATTTATTTATTTATTATTTATTTACAACATTTATATGCCACCCTTCTCACCCCGAAGGGCACTCAGTAGCACATTTCATCTTAATATATCTAAAAATGAGGACAAAAGGAACCCCATAAAAGGAACCCCATAAAAATGAGGACAAAAGGAACCCCATAATTTTCTCCATTGGTGCAAATGGGGGGGGGGGGGGTAAGAAAATGAAATAATAACAAAATTTTTGGAACATTGTATTAGAAATAAAACTGAACCTTACATTGTTTTTGTTTATTTTTTAATAAAACTATTTATTTTGGTTATGGTACATAACAGAAAAGCAAATCGCGGCAGATATAATCAGGTAACAATATTTTTGATGTGTACATGCCTATCTACCTTAGTCAATCAACCAATTAATTCTGACATTGAGTACAACATTGGCTAAAATAGACAAATCACAACAAGGTATTTGCTGGAGGTGCAGGGAACAGAAAGGGACATTCTTCCACATGTGGTGGACTTGTGTGATCGTACTGAAATTTTGGGATAAGGTAATTAAGGAGACAAATAAAATGTTACATAACAAGATTTAAAAAAGCCCAGGATTGTGTCTTGTAGGTCTACATAGAGAAAACAACAAACAAAAGGACCAAGAAATATATCAATATAGCTTTGCAGCGGCAAGACTGACCATAGCCAAAGACTGGAAAGGGGGAAAAGGTCTAACCAAAAAGGATTGGAGGGACCCTTACAACTTTTGAAACACTTTAGAAACAAAATGGGGGTTACCTGAATGCCATAATTAGAAATGAAATGTAGTTTTGGCATTTCACACACCTCTAGCGTAGATGCACCCAGGAGCTGCATTGCAGATTGCACAGCTGGACTCCACAGCATTTGATCTCTGTCTTGAACCTAGTTTTTAGTCCTTCCAGTATGCATTGGAACTTGTTA